AGGTTGCAACTTAATTACACATATTGCATGATTCTGACGGCGATAGAGAGGTTGCAACTTAATTACACATATTGCATGATTCTGACGGCGATAGAGAGGTTGCAACTTAATTTTTTTAGTGCTTGCCCAAGCAATATTTTATTGCTTATCCAAGGAATATTTGCATAATTCATATAGCTATGAATGAATGAATTAAGTTGGGATAAAAAGATCTTTAAAACCGTTTTGAATGTTGTCCAGGATTCCGACACTTACCATAATACGATTCAATATAGATTGATATTTATGAAGTAATAAAAAATACTATTTGAGAAAAAAAAGTTTGTAAAATATTGAGCTTTGCATGCTTTTTTTAAATTTTACCTTAAATGACCGAAGTTATATGGTGACCGAAGTTACATGGTGACAGAACTTATGTGGTTTTACGATATTTGCATATGAATATTGTGCAAGGTGTGATAGGGCTTCTTAAAAAAATTGAATATTTTTGGAAATTTTTAATCGATCATGAAAAACTCCTTGATTAATAGATTCTTTAAAAACTTTAAATATAATAACTTTTAACTGCTCATAACACTTGTGCTTCCAATAATTTCATCAGCTCCTATTACTTTGTTTTTTTTTAAGAGATTTTTTTGTTGGCTTTTTAAAACTCTTTAAAGGATAAATCAGTAAATAACACATTATTAAATAAATGAATAAATGCAATTATCCGTAGGTACTAAGAAATTACTAAATAAGGCTTTGGTGTTAAGATTCTTTTAAGCAAGTTTCGGACCAATTTTAAGTATAAAATAAAAGTATTTGTTAAATCACGGCCGACGACACCGGGGAGTCGTTGGCCAAGTAAATTCTTGAGTTATAAAAGTAAAAATAAATTTTCGAAACGCCATTTTTCTTTTTCACGAGGAGAAATTATAGGGGAGACAAAGAGTTTTCAGTTTTTACTCTAACTGAGCTTATTTGTTGCATTTTTTCAAAGTTTTTCATATTTTTTTTGTCAAACTTCAATGATTAAGATATTTTTTAACATTTTAACTTTCTTTACATTTCTTGATTTTCAATGTTTAAAAGCTTTTTTAAAAATCTTTGTCAAGTGTCCTTAGTCTGCCAGCTAAAATCATGGATTTACTTCACTAAAATACTCCTCTTTTGTCGAAACATGAAAGTACAATGATCAAGGTTATTTGTAATGATATTTTTTCATAATTGTTCATAAAAAATCTATAAAAATTTATATCTTTTCATATTAACTGCAATGTATACTCTAACTTCATCTACTTCTACCTTTCACTTTCTTTTAAAACACTGCATCCTGATTATCTGCAACTGCATGCTCTACATGATCGCTCAACATACAGTTTTTTAATATTTTTAACATTAAGTTCTTTTCTTTTTTTTTAAATGTAAATAATGATTTATTAGTCTGATCTAATTACTATGTAGATGCATAGTAAAAATGAATCCTGAAAAAGAAAAGAAAATTAAAAAAAAAACTGATAAAAAATAACAAATAAAAATTATCTTATAAGTTCTTAGTAACAAACATAAACCTTCAAAATAATACTTTATTTAGTTATTTTTAATTAATAAATTAAGAGAACGTCATAACAGTTGAAACTTTTATATAAGTTTTTGTTTGTAGAATTTCTGCTTGTGATGGTAATATTAATCTTATTATAAGTTTCGAATGAGCTGTTTAAATTTTCACTGTAAAGATAAACATCATTTTTAATCAATTTTTGTTGATTTTACTGTTATTTTTTTTTTTTAAAAAAAAACCTGTTTACTTAAGGAACTAAAGTTTTCCAATTTAGGGAGACAGTTACCTTGATTGGAACAAAATGATATTTTTGCAAAAGAAATTTAATTCCAATACTAGTACAATCAATTAAGTAAAATTATGTTTAAAAGTATAGTAGGGTTGCCTGTTTGCATTAATCAAGTCATAAATGTTTTCATAGTTAAATCATCTTTGGTTAATAACTATTTATTCCTTAAGTATTCTAATAGGCAACTCTCATCCTGCTATAATAAAAATTTTGCTCTAAATATTCCAATAAATACAATAAGATTGAAAAGCATTCAAAATTAATGAGGGAAGGTCTTTCTCCCAAAACGACACTAATGACCAGTGCCGGATCAAGGAGGGGGGGCTAGGGGCTATAGCCCCGGGCCCCACAAATTTAGGGGCCCCAAAAAATTTTAGTGGACCTTTTTTTTTTATTTTTTTTTTAATTTTTTTTTTTTTTTAGTTTCGGGCCCCAAGAAGTCTTAATCCGCCACTACTAATGACAGTGCACTAAACTATTGAGCTATCAATGATATGCGTTTAGGAGAAAAACAAACCTAATTATAAATCTCTTAGAAGCTCTAGGTATGCGGAAAAGGTGCGCATAGTAATTTTTTGCTCTTAAAGTATTTTTTTAAAATGAATTATTCAAAGTAAAAATATTGAAATAAACAAATAGTAGGTATAGAAATGATCGGTGTGGAATAGATAAGTATAGAAATGAAAGAAATGGTAAAGATCCATATTTTATGTGTCCAGAAAGCTATATACATATATATATATATATATATATATATATATATATATATATATATATATATATATATATATATATATATATATATATATATATATATATATATATATATATATATATTTTAAAATTCAGTTTAGGTGCCCCAAGAAGTGCTTACGGTCTTATGAGAGCGCCGCGATGAGCATGTGGTTAAATATGGCTGCGTATAAACTTTTTTTTAAATATATATATTTTTTCTTTAATATATAATTATTTTATTTAATATATATTTATAGAAATAATTATATATTTAAAAAAAGTTTATACGCAGCCGTATTAATTGAATTTTAACCATTTAACAAGAAAATGACTTTCAAAGAATATATATATATATATATATATATATATATATATATATATATATATATATATATATATATATATATATATATATACACATATATATATATATATATATATATATATATATATATATATATATATATATATATATATATATATATATATATATATATATATATATATATATATGTATATGTATATATATATATATATTTATGTATATATATATATATATATATATATATATATATATATATATATATATATATATATATATATATATATATGTGTGTGAATATATATATATATATTCACATATTTATATATACTTCAAAATTTATTTTTTTGAATTATCAGTTTTTGTGTTTTAAATTATAATTTTTAATCATTTCACGACTAGTTTCTTTATAGTCGAATTACATTTTTATAACAACATATAAATTCTATTCATTTATTTTTGACTTTCGCATAAACTCTGTAAGATGAGTTACATGTCCATTTGCTGAATTAAAAGAGTTTTTTTGTTAATTTGAACGGAATTGACAGACATGCTCAGGTGGCCATATCTGTCAATGAAATCATGAATGTGAAAAAATACTGCATGAACCTTAGGTGTTACAGACAGATTTTGCAATAGCCTACAAGACACTCTAAATGCTTTAATTATTTGTGGGTAGTTTGGATCATGGTTGCGTCCTAAACAGACGTTATCGCATTGAATTTTTGAAAAGTAATAACCAATGGGATTGATTCATTGATTTAATTTATGAAGTACCTTTTGAGGCAATTCTCTGCCAATTATTGTAAAAGCAATCTGAGCATCTTTTTTCGACTGTTGAAGAAGGTTTTCTAGCAGCTGAACTTTTTGTAAAGTCAATGCTCTCGATGACATTTACTGAAGCAAAAAAAAAAAGGTTTTCCTGCATTCTTGGTGGTTAGCAGTATTTGACATTAGCTAGATGTGCACAGTTTAGCTTCATTGGTAAAGTAAAAACTTGTATTTTCACAGAATTCAAAAGTGAAATTTTTTTTAAAATAATTCATGTAATAACTAAATAGGTTTCATATCAATTTAAACATTTTTTAAAAAAATAATCATATTTTAGGGCTGTAGAAAGCAAAGCAAACTTTCACTTTGCATCAGTAAAATATGAACCCTTAAATAACTTGCCAGGAAGTTATAATTTGATTTCGATACTTGTATCTAAATGATCCGCATTGTGCTATCATTCCACCAATAGGTTTTTACGGGCAAAAATACATTGAGTTAAAACCTGCTGTTTTCATATGAATATTTTAATCCAATTTCTCTGCACAAGCTAGCTTCACAAATTAATACAAGTAGTTATCATTTTGTATAAAATTATTCAAAATCTTGTTTGATATATATTTATATATCATATATATCAATTAGTTGTCGTTATTTATGGGTAGGAAATAAATGTTACTTACAGGGGGTAACTTATTAACAATCAAAATAAACAATAATTTAAATATTTATCTAGAAGAAAATATGTATTTAGGCAATAATTTATATAATAAACTGATGTTTCATCTGCTGTTTGTTTCGTAACATATGTTTCATTAATCCAATATCGGGAGAAAAATTATTAATTTTTTTGTCTAAGATCATAAATTTATTCATTCTTTACGATAAAATTTAAAATCTAAATTTAAATATATATCTATATTTAACCTCAACTCGTGCCAATTTTTTCTTTGATTTAAAAAAAAAAATAAAACCTTCCATATTTTTTGTATTTAACTATTTGATTCACTTCATTATGTCTGAATAACGCTCGAAATCTTAAATAAGCACGTGAATTTATTATAATTTGTAACTAATTAGTTTTTTATAATTGCGATAATCCAGTTTATTTTTGGACATCGTTCTATAAATTAACTAAGTATGTAATTTAGTTACTTTCGCAACGCTCGAATTGTTTGGAATTTGGAATTGGTAGATAGACTAGATAGGCAGATGGAATAAGCAAATAGACTGATAGCTGGCTTAACTTACTATTGTTAAATTAAATAGTCTTATTTAAACGTGAACATTTTTTAAAATTTATATATGATATAATAAATTCGTGGTAATTAATATACAAAAAAGTTTCTCTTTTGATAAAAGCGTTTAGATAAAAAATATTATAAATTATTCAAACCGCAAGTTATTTTATTCAAAAGGTAGTTTTCGAATGTCTATAGTGTATGCGTTGCGTACGCAATGTGTTGGAATGCAAATTCTCTTACGCCGGCCAATAGTAAGTAGCTTCTTCAAACCCAAACTTTTTTTATTGTTGTGGATATTTTAGTTTTTAAGGTAAACTAACACATGTGTAATAAATTTTCCGTTACCGTATGGCAATGAGTTTTTTATTCCTATGTTTTACTTTTAATGTAAATTTTAATGAGTTTTTTTTCGCCAACCATAAACTGCTATATCGTTTTAATTCTCAAACACTCGTAGTTAGTTTGACAAAGATATTCAGTTGACCATTTTCGTAGTTTGAAATTATAATAAATTTAAAATATATTTTATTGTAGATTATTTTTTTTTTAAATGATTGATTTTTTTGGGAGGAGAATCTTTTTTTTTAAACACACGAAAAAAGAGAAAACAGAGGAAAATTGTAAAAAACATTTTATATTTTTTAAAGTTATTGAATTAAGAATTTTCGTTGGTTTTGTGATTCAATAAATATTCCAATGTTTGAGCACGTAGTGTAACTTATGCGCTAATCATCCCAAAATAATTTCTAAAAAAAAATAATACTAATAAACAGATGTTTTTTATTGCAGATGGCAAATACAACAATCAAAGTAAATTTCACAGTGTGAAATTTCTTATATCGTTACAGAATGTGAAAGAAAAAAACTTATATATAAAAAAAGTATTGCATAATCCTTATCACATAAAATCAACACTTTTTAATGCAGATAATCGGAAAAAAGTAACAGAGTTAGTCAAAAAAAAAAGTTAAAAAAAAAAACTTTTTTAAAAAAGTTCAAAAAAAATTTGGATTGATTCAGTGCCCTGCGTTAAACCAAGGACTGGTTAAACGAATGGTTAAACGAATGGTTAAACGAATTTTAAGCGTTTTGTTTACATCGTTTGTTCTACACAATAACGTACGCTATTAGGCAGTGAATTTCACAGTTTAGGAGAAAAGTTTAACACTAGGTGTTTATCGTTATTTAAGCAAAAACAATTTTTTCTCGGTACTTTTGTTGAGTGTTTGATTTAATTTAATTTCAAAAGCTTTAACAGTTTCTTTTTTATTCATTTAACAGGCTATTTGTTTAGCGGGTTGATTATTTTAGAATAAAAAGCAAGGATAACATTTATACAAGGCTAAAAGTAGAAATTGTAATAGTTAATTTACAAAAGATATGTAATCAAAATAGTTTTTTTTTTTTAAATGTGAACCTATGGTCATTTAAGTTTGATTATCGTGTCCTGATTATCGAGTCGTTTCCCGATTCGTGTTTTTGTATTCTTTATAAAAAATATTTTTTTATTATTTATTTTATTTATTTAAAAAGTAGATTACTGATAGATAAAACATTAAAATAACAGTATTTATAAGGATTAACACAGAAAAAATGATGGACGAGTTTATAGGTGAGAATTCAATATAATTTCTTTTTAACTTTATACTTTATTCAAGTTTCTCTTGATAGATAATTGCATTTTATTGTAAAAACGATTATAATTTTCAGTTCTCGTAAGATTGGCCAATGGTAACTTAAAACGGATCAAATAAATTTTTTTTGTATCTTTACTTTATCTAATAATTTTTTTTTTGTATTTTTTAAATAGTTTTTTAAATCTACTTTTCTAATCTAATGGATTTTTAATTTTTTTGGAATTAGAATTTGGGTAACACAAACTATACCAATGTTTGAAATTCAAAATTTGTGAGTTGCATTCCCGCTCTATTTACAATAATTTTAAATTTTAAAATGTTCATTTAAAATTGGTACAATATATTTATGTTTTATACTTTTTTCTACAATGTCTTGGTCTATAAATCAATCACAAAATAAAACAGAATCAAATATTTAAAAAATACGTGTAAATATCAGAGTATATCGCCAAATAAGTATGACGTAACGTAAAGTATATCGTCAAATAAGTATGACGTAACGTAAAGTATAATGCCAAATAAGTATGACGTATGATGTAAAGTTACATGAAGTTGAGTTTTACTATTTTATTTATAAAAAATTTCACGGATTCCAATCAACAATAAATAGCAAAATTTTAAAACTTAAAATACTTTTTAATCTTAATCTTCTTAAACTTTTTCTGAATATTATTACCTTGCAAACATTTGGTTTAAAAAGACGTTTTTAATAAGTATTAAACGAATTTTATACGCTTAAAAGACGTCTTTTTTATACCTAATGTTTGCTGGGTAGAGCCAGGGAAAAAAAAAATAGAACATTAAAAGTGTTCCTTTGTAAATGTTCTATGCATAAAGATATAAAAATAAAGTTTGGGTAAAAAAAAAAGAAAAATTAAACATGATTTTGAGTTATATGAACATTAGTAATATTCCATCAAAGTACTGCAGAGTTTTTTTTTTTTTTTTTTTGAAGAAAAACTTATTTTTTCAAATAAATTCAAATAAACGTTAACTAGTTAAGATGTATTTTTTTTTTACTACGCAGATTTTCAGAGAAAAGTAGGCTTAGTACAGATTCTTTAAGTAGTTTCTGTTTCCTCTATTTTGTTTGTAATTATTTCAGCTTTTTTTTCATTAGCGAGGCTTAGTTATTCAATAAGTAAAGTCTATCAGGTGTAAACAGTTTATTAAACGGTTGTAAATGCATTAAATTATTTAGTATTAATAGTATTAATTACTAAAAACACATATATATAAAATTTTTCAGTTCAACTGCATTGAAATGTTTGGGGCTAATCTTATAACCTTTTTTTAAACAAAATAAATTATATTGAAATTGTATTTGAACGCTAGCCTATTTTAAATTGATGCAAGTAGCTTATATTGATTTAAAAATGTAATACCATTTTGCCATATAATATTCAAATGATAAAAAACTTGATAGAAAATTAAAGTTTTTTTATACCATAAGTAAAGAAACATTTTTTGTGCTTTTTAAAATCAAATGTCGTGTTGTGATTCAAATCTTAATAAACAGGTCTTTAAAAGTGGTTTTACTTACATCAATAGAAACGGTGGCAAGTAATTATAGTAATGATTCTCTCATTTACGTGGTATATCTATAAATTATAAAACCTTTGACTCTTTAATAAAAACTACTTTATGATTTTTTATACAAAGAAATTTATTCGACGTTTTAAATATTAAACTTACGGTTACGAGCTTACAACAGCGATAGCGAGAAATTAGTTCAAGATTTATTGCTTGATGAACTTCCATCTGTTTTATACTTTTATGGTTTCTTTTTAACATAGCTGTTAGTAAAGTGTGCCTAAAAATGCTTTAAAAACGCGTTAGATATGATGAATGGACCCTATGTATACAGAATATATGTATAGAGAACCATAAAAATTCATACAATAAATCTTAACTATTTAACTGAAGTTGTTGTTTTATTTCAAGCATACGTATCGAGAACTTTTAAAATTTATGATGAGCAAAATTCGAAGATAATACAATGATATTAATCCTTGTATTATTTTGGCCATAATTTTAGAAAAATTATGCCTATAAACCATAGTTTTAGAAAAATATTAAGACATTATATACGGTACCGTCAACTGGGGCTACTTTACTGCAACGGGGGTTACTTTGCACCACTTTTGAAAAGTTTTTGTAGTTACACAGCTCTAATAGCAAAATTGATTTTTTCAAACTGTTTGGTTTTATCTTGTTAGTTGGGTCATTATCTTCAACTTTCAAAATAAATTTTGAATTATGCTGCCATTTTATGTGTTACTTTTTAAATATTTGTGGAAGCCATTTTTTATAGCGATTTTTTACTCCATTAAAAGTGTCGTGTTTCTACACGAGAACTATATCAATTTTTAATAAATTTTTTTATGAAAAGAAACCATCTGTTGTATAAATCATGAAAAAAAATTTTTAATTAGTTTAATATTTAGGAAGGTGTTATTTAAAAATAGTTTTAGTGTCAAGTTTTGACCAAATAGGGGCTGCTTCGCACCAGTTAAGAGAATAGTGAAAAGTAACCTTAGACTTTTATTTTTTTACATTTAATAGTTTAAAATGTTGCTAACAGATGCAAATTATTTTTAAGGATGGTAAGGCATTACAAAAAAAAATTGGGAGCTCGTTCTTACAAAAATTATTCAAAAAAAAACACTGCAAATATGCTTAGGTTTAATAAAAAAAGAAAATTCAGTCAACGTATAGCTTCATATCAGTTTAACATACCAAGAAAAACAATAACTAATAAGCTAAATAACTTTTTTACACATCCGATAGGAGGAATAGGCCCCCCTAAAAGTTTGAGCAAATGAGGGATATTTTGAGTGCCATAGTTGTTTGATGATAGGAAATATGAGTAAACGTTAACATATAACATTGAAATTTATCAGGTGAAAGTTTGTTTTATTTTTTTGTTTCGTTTTGTTGTTTGTTTATATAAAAGAAAGTATTTTACTTATTTAAAGAAGTGTTTTGTGAAATTCTTGAACTAAACCTAATATTTGAACCAACTTTCTGAGTAAGATTTATGTTTTTAGTTTTTAAACCATTTTTTAAGCTACATAAAGTATTGTACTTATTTAAAATAGTTTTTTGTGAAATTCTCTATACTAAAATTACCTTTTTTGGGCGATATTTTTTTTGTTTTTAACATTAAAAACAATTTTTTTTAATGTGGTGCAAAGTAACCCTCTCATTGGGGCTACTTTGCACCAAGTTTAAAACTTCAATCAAAATATATTGAATTAAAAAAAAAAAATCTTTATAAACTAGTTATAACAACATATTAGAACAATTTTTTTATTATGCCTAAATATAACTGCAGTAAAATATTTACTCCAACCTTTATTTACTTTATTTAATTAAAAATGGAGTAAGTAACGTTTATATTACATGTAATGCAAACATAGTTTAAGGCGTATAAAGTACCATATATAACTTGCGTACACTCAGGACCGTCCCGAAGAGATTTTGAAGGGGGATGACGTATTTGTTTTTTGCCGAGTAAGGCATAGAAATTTTTTTTTTTGCGACTAAGATCTTAAAAAAGTAAAATAAAAAAGGTCTTTGTCGGCTGATATTTGCCTACTGCCTACTATAAATCTAATTTTCCTGACTCCATTGACCAATTCGCCTACTAAAAAATTTTGTAGGTGGGCTAGACACCACCTAGGCCGCCCGCCTCGGGAGGCCTCTGTATACACTCATACAATACAACATACGTTTCTTCTTTGCACGTTTTTTTGAGACAATAAAATTTAATTTTTCTTCATTATTATGTTTTTACATTTATCTATTAAAAACAATAAAGGTTTCAATAACATAAATTTGGAAATAATTTTTAAGCTAAGTTGTCAATTACTTAATTAGTTTAATTAGAACCTAATTAAGTAAATGACAACTTATTTGTCATTTGATGCTGTTTCTTTATTAAAAAGTATTTTATATAATTTTTACTAATTATTTAGCTACTATTTGGTTTGTATTGAAAATATTAATCTTAGGAGGTTGGAACCTAAACTTGATCTAACAAATCAACAAGTTTGTCTAGTTAAATATCTAAATAACAAACATTTTAAAAATTATTTATTAAATACAATTGTTAATTTTTTTTTTTTTTTTATAAGTTTGATAAAAGAATTCTTTATTTATTAGCAAGTTATATAAAGATAAGTTAAAATCGGTAAACAATTGTTGTTCTAAAGACTGTAGTGGGTTTTTTATTTTATTTTATTATTTTGACTGGAGACTTGTTCTATTTATTTTGACTTTGAGACTGGAACTGACCATTATCACGTTTTATTAACAAAAATATATCTGCGAAATTTTAATGACATTATCTACAAATGAGATTACCGCTCATACAATTATTTATTGATTTTTTTTTATTAAATTTTTTGTCTAATAATGGGACTGCCCATTGCTCCCACGTTGTAACAAGAGTAAAAAGAAATTTAACAAAACATTAGATAAAGATTTGTATTGATCTCCATAAACAAAAAGTATTTATTTACAAACGTTAACTTCAGCATTGTTATTATTTATTTATATTTCATTTTTTATTTATTAACTTTCCGAAATAAATTCAGAAATTAAAGTTATTTCTGAATTCTTACTTAATTTTTATTATATATATATATATATATATATATATATATATATATATATATATATATATATATATATATATATATATATATATATATATATATATATATATATATATATATATATATATATATATATATATATATATTTAAAAATTATTTTTGATTCTATTTATATAAAAGAAAACATTATTTACGGCTTATATTTATGCATAAATTGGAAAGAAGAAAAAAAAAACTAAACAAAATAGAATACATGTATAAACATATATATAAAAAAAATCAAAATGAATTAGAATATATGAATCGCTAACTTGAAAAAGGGGACATGTCCTGCAAAAATTCACATAACAAGCCCCCTTTTTCAAGTTAGCGATTCATATATATATATTAAATTTAAATATTATTGTGTTAAAATTTAGTTTCTCGTTGTTTTGCAAACTTTCACATTACATATGAAAACAAAAAACAGTTGCCATGACTAATAGTAATTGTAATAACAAGTAGACCAGTATATCGGCATAACAGGTAGTAATAAATGAATTTTACGTCACCGGTAGTCACAGATACGTCACCATTAATGTTTTAAATATATTTTAACATCTTCAATCACAGGTACGTGACCGTTACCGTTTTAAGTAAGTTCTAACTTCTTCAGTTTAATAAAAATAGGAAATAAATAGTTTGAAATAAAAACTAAACAATAAAGTAACAAGATAAATTTGCATAATTATATATAAAAACAAAAGCAAAAAAATTGTGTTGCAGTCATCATAAGTTCTCGTGTTTTTGCAATTACCATATCAGCTTTACTTTTGTCGTTATTATATTGTGATTACTTCTGTGATTATCGTAAACAGTTGATTGAATCCTACACAAAGCTATTACAGCGTTTAGACTTATAACTCAATAATATAATGTGTGCAATTTAGAATATAGCAAAAAAAAGGAAAAAAGAGTTGTATAAAATTCAAATTAACCAAAACAAAAAGTAAATATAAAACTGTAAAAAATATTTTTTTTAGTACTTTACCATTAATATTTCTATAATATCTTTTTATGTCTACATAAAAACTTAAACTACTTTGCGTGCTGAGTTGCTATAATTTTGATAATATTTATTTGCTATTTTTCTTTACCTTATGTAAACAGTTTTTTACAAAGCAATACCACTCTAATGCATATAAATTAACTGAGAACTAGTTTCACTGTCATTTTTATAAAATATAGTGTTATATTTTATAACTATATATAGTTATAAAGCAGAAGACTTAACATCATGTGTAAACATAGTAACGTCATGTGTAAACATAGTAACGTCTTAAAAATAAAACATAAGAAGACTAAATTAAGCAAAGCAAATAAACTGCAGGTGTTTGAAAATTGATTTTCGTGACTGCTTCTCTTTCTCTCTTTCTCTCTTTCTCTTTTTTTTTTTTTTAATACTAGGACAAATATTTACGATGTTTAATTCGTTTAATTTTAAATTGTTCTTTGCAATGTTAAGTAACTTTTGAAAATAGTTTTCTTACGCCATTTTAAAGTTGTTTAAAATGACACTTTTACGACGTGCAGTTTGAACTGATGTTGATTTCCACGTGGTGTCGAAAATTCCGAGTAAGTTTTTTTTACTAAAAATATTTTTTTTTAATCAAGTGATTCACGAGTTAAAAGTGAAATAGAAATTGATATTCTGAAATCGGAAGAAAAGTAAATTCATAAAAAAGAATAAAAAATTATTTATGTGAACAAATATAAATTTATTGCGGTTTAATTTATGACGTTTCTCAACTAAAATGGATCACTTTTAAATTTCAAAAAAAGATTGTCACTTTATTCCCAATTTTTTTTTAATGTTTGGGCTTCAAAATTAATTTTCAACTTTTTCTTGAAGGTCTTATTCTATAAATCTGATGCAAATAGAATGTTTTCCGAAAGAAAAAAAAAGCGGTAATATTAATGTAATCTCTTAAAAGAATTTATTTTCAGTTTGAATTCATTTTCCTCATAGAAAATTTCAACTTGCAAACAACTTTTTACGAAGCACAAATAATATTACACGATTGCTGTAATAAAACGTAACAATCAAATCAACTTTAAAAATATTTAGATTTTAATTAAATTATTTAGATTCAAGAATTCATCTTTTAAATATAGAGATACGGACTCCGCTGTCGTAAAATGAATAAAAACAATCCATGCAATCACTCTATTCAGTTAAAAATTAAAAAAAAAAAGGAAAAAGAAACGCGTGACGAACAATTCCTACTATTAGGATTTGTTATATATAATAGTTTTTTTATTAATTAAAGAAAAACTCTTAGAAAAGCGGCAAAAGCATGTTAATTATTTAACATCATTGATGAACTTCCAATGTAACTGTTTAGCCTGAGCCTTCCTTTTATTTTTTCTAACAAAGAAAAAAAATTACCTCACTTCTTCGAGTTCTTAAAACATTATTATTCAAAACTGGTAACTAACTGGTAAAGTACTGTTAAATCGTAAGTAACAGTGTATTGCTGTAATTTACAGTATCAAACAAACTTTACAAGGTATCAATCGTCAATCAAACACAAATGAATTTTTAATGTTTTTTAATTTTGAATGTCGGAAAATTAATTTCTTATCAATAATAACACTTTTAAAAGTTAAAACTTCTTTCTAAAATTTTGTGAGTCTTATATGTAGCAATTTTGCTGCTTAAAAAAAGAAAACAAATTGCCGGCAGCTTTTTTATCCTGGCGATAAATGCGATAAAAATTATTTTTATGATAAGAATAAGTATTTTTTCTTTTTCAGGATTGATAGACAAAAACGTCAGTAAAAAATGAACATTTTAAATTGTTGTTAGAAGAAATGATAAGCATATTTTGTTTGCTTGTGTGTGCAATAAAAGTCGTAATGGTAAACAGTGTTGTTGGTAAGAATATTTGATGTTTTGTTAGTAATTATTATTATTGTTAATGGTATTGTTATTTATTTGTAAAACTTGTTTTTTTTTATGACCAACGTTTATAAAAAAATGCTGTGTTATTCAAAAAAATGTCCTAAGAACAATTTTTTTCTTATTTATAAAGTTTCATTAACTCGTAATATTTACATTCTTTGTTATCCAAATACATAAGCAACTTAAGTAGAGAAAAAATAAAAGGGGTGGAGAATTTCAAAATAAAATAAGACTTTGATTTACCTTCATAGATGGAAGGATGCTGGGGAACGAAAGATAAAGATTGAAAAATGCTGATCAGATCATCGCTAATCAGATTATCGCTGATCAGATTATCTCTAATAATTGCTGATCAGCGATGATCTGATCAGCGATGACAATCAAAAAGTTTTATGATCAATCAAACAATCATAAAATTTTTATTGTATTTTTGTATTTGTATGAAATTGCAATAAGATGCACCATAAAAGTATTTCTCGAAAACGAATTATTTATTTTATTTTTATTCGTTTTAATATATTTTTTATTTATTTTATTATTTTAATTAAAATTTTTTTTGTTTTTCTACTATTCTTAAGGTTGTTTTTTTTTTTTACATAACTTACAAGGCGCCTGGTCAGGTAAGGTTTTTGACCCAAAATAAAAACATTAGTTTTAGCGTATCTTTTGTATCAATTTGGATATATTGGGATAACTTCAACTTGCATTATCTTTACAAATAAAAAGTGAAATGAATGTTTTGTCAATTGTTGTTAGACATCATATTTTTCTAGATAAACTAAAACCAAAAGCTTAAAATAAAGTTTGATAATTTTTACAATTTTTACTAAAAGCTTTTGACAAGTAAGTGCCAGAATTTTTTTCATCAAAACTGGTAGGGGAAAACGGGCAAGATGGTGAATAGGTAAAGATGGCTTTTCATATTACAACTCAACAAAAAAAGTTAAAAGTGGGTGAAAAAAACCTGTATTTACATTTTATATTTTAAAACGCCAATTGGTTTTTTAAATATTGTTAAGGCAATTTTATTCGCATAAGTTTACTTTTTGCGCTTAAAAAAAATACTTTGGTTTTGTGCAATAAATGTTTTGTTTTGTTATATATAAAAAATATATAACAAAACAAAACATTTATTGCACAATCAAACTGATAAATTCCAAATTTAACATATTACGCTATGTATATGCCTAATTAATTAATTAATTAATGTAGAGTCCATATGCCTTGTTCATTTGCAGAAACTGGCATCGAAATTTGCTATTGGTTTTCCCAAAAAATTTATTGTCATTAGATTGGATATATGTTCCACAGTAAGGCTGGTTCTTAATTTTGATGCAATTAAATTCATAAGGCTAAAACCTCTCTATGCTTCTGAACTGCTAATAGCAATTGTGCTTGCTATTTTTTTAGCTCTTAAAATTGAATTAGGTAACTAAACATTTTTCAGCTGTATGTTTGCATCTACAAAGTCGCAAAAATCATTAACATCTACTTTAAACTTCAAAATTTCACATAATTTTCTAACCATGTTTTCACCTTCTAGCCATAATTTTATCGTGACATAATTTTATCTAATGACCAGGTAGAAGGACCAGGTAGAAGGATCTAAAATCTCGATAAGCTGCACAAATTTTTCATAGCTATCAGTGTCATTGTTCTCATTCTTATTCTCATCCATATTTATATGACTTGCCGATAAAAGTCTTAGATTCATATTCTTTGCCAAACTATCTAATAATTGCTCTCTGGGAAGAGGCATAAAATTCTTTTTGTAATCAAATGGTATGCATTTGAACTCATTTGATGAAATTAAATTTTGAACTTTTTTTCATAGATACCAAAATTATCATAATTGTGTAGGTCTATAGCTCTTATTAAACGCTTAATTAATTGATCAGCTTTATATATGGTAATTGTTCTTGATTGTAGCACATTGGATAGTATTGAAAAGATATCATTAAAGCTAAATCTTCAATAAAATGTGTATTAGCTAATCTTTTGGCCATTCCTGAATTTGATTTGGACTGGATAAAATGTTTATACAACGCTGGGTATGCTCTCCACTCAGCAGTAGCTGCTCGTATGCTACAGGATGCCCAACGAGGGCTAAAAACGCGACGATTTTTATTATTTCTTGGTTAAAATCACTAGAAATAGTTTCCAATTCGGCTTGGTTTTTATTTGACTGATGATATATCGCATATATTTTGTCTAAAAATATTTTAAAATGATTTACTTGTTTAATGTCGCTTATGGAATAATCTAGTACCAATTGCAATCGGTGATTCAAACAATGCTACACGATTATATTTGGAACCATTTCAGTTAATTTTGTGGCTACTCCAGATTTTCTTCCTAAATTGTCGATAACATTGTCGATAACATTGTCTTTGTAAATAATTTTTATCAAATCCATAGTAAGTAAGACATAGTAAATCCATAGTAAGTAAGACAGTCTTACTGTCTTACTTACTATGGTAATAAAAGTCATAAAAGTATTTTCGGCAGTTGTTGACGTCAATTCTTTTAAATCTACGAAAATCATGAGAGGTTCAATTGCAGACTGTACACTGTAAATATATTACCAAAGTACTTTTTTTAGCAAGTATAGAAGCTTCGTCAATTATGATACAAATTTTTGAATTTTGATTGATAATGTTTTTAAAAACAGTTTTTTTGTTCGCAATTTGTTCGACAATTCTAGTGGCAGCGCGTCTGGAATGTAAACAATTTCCTATATTAACACCATTTTTTTCTTGTAATTCCAAAACTGCTACTATATCAGACAATGATCTGTTTCGTCTTCATAATATAGTTTCGGATTCCAAAAATTTTACCATCGAATTCCGAAATTAAAATTGATTTTTTCGTGTCTTTCAACTTTTAAATTTAGTTTTTGTTTGTTTACATATAAATGTTCTTACATTCTAATTCTATAAGAAGACATCAAGAAAAAAATGCTAAATTACAGTTATTCTGCATAATACAAGTAGACAGAGAAAACATTCTCAAACTGTGTAATTATCAGTGTCGCGTCTTCATTTCATTTGTTGTAATATTTTACGATTTGGAACAGTGTTTGTTTATTACACTTCGTATTTTACGTACGCACATGAAGTGTGTATTGTGTTCTGCACATGGTTTGTTTACGAGTGTGTGGCGCATCAGTGCGATGTGCATATTTTGCATAAATATACTATTAAAATCAATCAAACTTCATTTAATTTTGCTAAATTAATATTCAGAATGAAATCTGGGGGTAGATATTGCTTTTCATCCCCAAACTCGCAGGGTATTACAATTTAAAAAAAATAATAATAATTAACCTAAATTAGGATATTTATTTTTACTATTTCTCAAGTAGTTTTAACACATTTTACCAGTTGGTGTTGTTTCTGATTAGAAAACTTTCTATAATTTGAAAAGATTGAAAACATAATTTGGAATTTGGAAGAGGCACAAAAGTTGTCAGGTTCAGCATAATTGAATATTTATAGAAATTGAAGGAAGCACCAGAGTTTTCTCAACATAACTGAATATTTATAGAAATGCTAAAAGAAGTGTAGACAATAAAATCAACAGATTTGCAAATACTGGAAATAGAAGATTAAATTTTTCGTTAAAATATAGTGAAGTAAATGTAAGCAAATAACCATTTGGTTAAATGTACAAATGGTCATTAACCAAACCAAAAAACAAGATATTTGTTTATTAATCAGATAAATTACTTGAATGTTAATGAATGAATGTAATAAATAAATGAAATAAAATAAAAATCGAATTTAAAAATCGTGTTAAAAATTGTAAATAAATGAATCTAAAGCCCCAACGACTTCCAAATCTAAACTTTTCTCAATTTAATTTTGGAGTTCGCTGGTCCATGAAAAAATCTTAAATTCGTTGTTTCCGCAAAAATATTCTTGGCAATATCTTAAAATACGCTTTATTTTCAAAAAGCGCAGTGTCATAATAAAAAAAAGAATCCCATTTTCAGTTTGGTTTTTTCTTAAATATTTTTTTTTGAAATTTTTTGAATTTAAGTTACGTTCAAGATGTGATCACACCGATATCTCGCAAGAACATTTCAAATACGCAAGACATCATTTTTGATATCTCAGCAAAACATTTGAAATATACACGACGTGACACTTTAGCACAATGGATAATAAAATTTTTTAATTACTTTATTGATTATGGATGCGCACAAAAGTTAATCTCAAGATTACTTTTTGTTCCTCTTGATATTGATTGTACAATGTTGATGTATTATACAATAAACCTTTAGTTACAATCTTGATTTATTATATATATTTCTATATACAGTGGCAGATTAAATCTTCTTGGGGCCTGGGGCTATTTTTGTGTTTGGAGGCCTTTTTATGGGCCAGAGCCTAAAAATAACTGTCATGTAATAGGCCTCAAAGGCAAAGGCTAAACAGAAAATTTTGATGACAAATAGTAACAAATAAAGTATGTATATAAATAACAAACAAAACTCTAAATAAATATATAAATTATTGCATGAGAATTATAGGGTTCTATCTGCATTTTTTTATGTTTAAATAAATTAACATATGTTTAAATAATTTAAAGTTTTAATTAATAATTAATAGTAAAAACAAACAACTTAAAAAATATTATGAATAACAATATATAAAGATTTTGATCTTTTTGTACTACTGGCGACTTGTTAACCCTTATAACAGCAAGATTCTACCGTGATTTAGATGAAAGCAGTATTTTAAAGGTTGACAACCTTTACTCCATAAACAATATTTTATGGTGCAACTATAAAGTATTTAAAATAATTGAATTATTCATTGTTAACTGCAGTATAGTCGCCATTAATGGACAGCGTTTTCTATAATTTTAGGTAACTTCTAGGAACAAAACGTTTAGGTTGTCATCACTTTTAGGTTGTTTAGAGCAGGTAATCAACCTTAAATAAGATCCATAAAACAAAAAAATCAAAGTTTTTAACTGTTAATAATTATTAGAATGTTGTTGGTGAACGAATGAATTAATCAATTTTGATCAGTGGCAGCACTCATATTGAGTTCTTTACTTTACGCCCTTTCGCGCAACTGACCTTTCATGTAATTTGTTAAAGTTGTCTCTTTAAATTATACTTGGCATCTTTTTTACTCCTAATTCAACTTTATACCTTTATAAATTTTTATTAAATCTTTTATAAAGTAGTGAACAGCCCTTATAATATAGCAACAGTCCCTTTGGACAATCGACTCTTATTATTGTATTTTTTGCTGTAGTAACAATTCTTTTTAAATATTGTATTCTTTGTTGCACAACATCAGCACCTAATACAGGTGGAATGCAAATCAAATTTTTACTATTATGTGCGAAATTTGAAAGTTGCACATAATAAATAAAATTGCATAACAAAAGTTAAAATTTTATTTTAATTTAATTTGTTTTACATATAATTCATTATAAAACGTAACCAATATAGAGTTATAGTTTATAAATTTTTTAAAAAAATGTTTTGTTTTTAAGTTCTAAAATAAAAACATTCAATTTTTTAGCTTGAAAACTTTAACTTAATGCAGAAAATTAAATAAACTACTTTAGATTTTAAGATTATTTTTACTTATTTTAATGATCCATTTCTTTGTAGTGAAAAAAAATGATGTCTTTAAAGCAGTTTATTTATGCTGATTTTTCAAACTTATTTTTCAAATAGTTACTAGTTAACTTGAGATTTTTTTTAATTTTTGAGTTGACTGTTATAAACTTATGTATAAATTTTCTTATAAACTATTTTCTCCAACTTGAAGCAACTTAATGCCAAAAATCGCTGGCATCTATTGAATATCTACATATGGGTTTTTAGAAAACAATTTATGACAAATTATTGAAAATATAACATTTTTTGCATTTTTCCAGCACATGTATAAATTGCTATTTTGTTGTTCAAGTCAATTTTATCCAAAGACATTTCCATGAATTAAAATCACTTCACAATCATTTTAATTTTAAAAATATACACAATATAATTATATATCAGAAAAAAAAATTGGGTGGTTATTTTTACTATTACATTTACAGCCAAAATATTTGTAACAAAAAAGAAAGTCTATCAAAGTTACCTCCATTATTAAAGTATTATTATCTTCAGTATTAAAGGAAATCTGAGTTCTTGCTTTTAAGTAAAAAATGAGTTCTTGTTTTCATTTATAAGCAAGTGTAAAGCAACAGAACATCACTGGTACTAAATTTTTGAAAAAATTTAGTTTAGGTACTCAATAAATTAAAATTAAGGTTGCAAAAACAATTAGGAACTGAATATAGAATAAAGTTAAGTAAAAAGTCTGCAAATTTATTAAAACAAATCTTGACATGAATTTAAGTTAAAAACAAACTTTCAGGTCAACTTTCAGTGTATTGGGATATAACACAACAATCTGTCAATTTCATTATTATTACTGATGCATACAAATGCTAAATTTGATAGCATCAACTTAGTTAAATTTATGTCCAAAAAGACCTTTTATAACAACTTATAAGCTTAAATTGTGCATTTCCCATTACAATTGATGTATTCTCAATTACATATTACAACTTCTTAATTACATGTTGTTACACAATTACACTTTCTGATAATAAAAAGTCTTCATAACAAATTTAAACAAAGAATGGCAATGGAATGGAGATGATCCTATGTAAATTTGAGATTTACTCAGAATCATCTCTAGATTGTTGATTTAAAGATGCATCTTAAACATTTTTTGCAACAATCCAAAAAATGTTTTTTTTTAATCTGCCTAATATATCCAGCTGTTTATGACTTCCTAATTTTATGTTTTTTACTAAATTATTAAATTATATACTTTCTGTTTTATAGAACAAAGAACAAAGTAGATGTTTTTAATTAGATTAAAAAAATGAAAAATGTTGGCAAATTTTTTTTGTTAATGAGATTTTTCACAAATGATTCAACTTGCCAATTTTATTTTCTACTTATAATTTTTGATTTGCTTTTTGTATATAATGGCTGTCCTTAAGGTTGCTAGATGTCTGGCTTTTATAGAGGAGAATACAGTACCAAACCTGTAAAAAATATTTTTTTTACTGTGTTTTCCTATGTAAAAGTCAGACATCTGGCAACCTTAGCTGTACTTAACAAAAACCAGTTTTACTGGATTTCACTATATTTAGCAGTTTTATAGCAATGGTGTTTGTAAATATTATTAAAAATAATCAGTTATGACTTTATTTGAGGTAAAAGCAAAAAAAATCTTTTTTTAGTTGCATTTTTTTAATCAACTAAATATAAATATTTGTTGTTTTTTTAGAACATCAGATTTCATTTGTTTCATTGAAGGCAGAGCCAAAAAGTATACTATTTCTTAACACATTGACTGCATCATTGTATTGTGATGCAATTGGTTACCCTACACCAGAAATTGAATGGCTCACTGAGTCTGGTTCACTAGTTCGGCCAATTAAAGGACTTATCTCAATTTTAAATAATGAGTTACAGTTTCACGCTTTTAAAGAAGAAAATTTCAATCCTACTGTACACAATGCAAAATATCGATGTAAAGTATCAAACAAAGTCGGAGCTCTCATAAGCGATTTAGCAGAAGTTAAAGTTGGTAATTTGTTTTTGTTATATTTTATTGGCATATTAGCAACCAATTAACTTTTTCAAAGTTTCCTATTCTATTAAATTTTTAAGTAAAAACTGATTGAAATAATTTGCTATTGTTTTTTGTTTATTTCTTTTTTAGTTATCGACAAACCATACTCTCCAGTTATTCATCATCAAATAGGCTTGATTGGTTCGATTGTTATCTTCAAGTGTCAAGTGCCAGACTCTGTATCATTGTTTGTAAAAGTTTCTGAATGGCTAATTAAGCACCCAAGAAAAGATAAAGTTGATAAAATCTCACGTGGACGGGCACAAAACCAATTTCATGTTCTAAATACCGGAGATTTAATTGTTTCTGGTATTGTGAAAGAGTATGAAGATTTAGAGTTCTCTTGTGTTACACAGAATGTTTTCAACAATGCAACAATGACTAATGTTCCAGGAAGACTTTACGTGGACTCTGACGGTTTGTGAAAATTTAGTTTTTATTTTTAGTTTTTTTTTAAACAGACATTTTTCAAACATGAAGAAGTATTTATATTTTTTTATAGACAAATTTCTTGAACCGAGCAACTTTGTAAGACCAGTTAGTCAATTAGTAGAATATGGTCAATCTTTTATATTGAATTGCCAGGCAGATGGGTTATTTGAATATATATGGTATAAAGATGGTAATTACTTGGATACAATCAATCACATTTTAATTGGAGGCTCTATTTTTATTAAAAGTGCTAGATATTCAGATGCTGGTGTGTATAAATGCTTGATTAAAAAAGAAAAATATTTAGTTGAATTTTCAGCAGAGATTGCAATCAGAGGCAAGTACAACATTAAGATAGTTACTACATGTAAATAAATATAATAAATAATACAGTAATAAATAATAAGTAAATACATATAAATGAAAAAATCATAAAATGTTCAATTCATTTCTTATTTTGTGAACTATTTATTGTAGTGTTATTGCATGGATTGTGATATGTTTAATTTTAAATAGTTTTATTTATTATATAAAATATATACTTGAAAATATATAATATTTATATACATATGCTATTAAAAAGTATATGTATATAAATATTGTTTAAACTTTATAAAAATATATATTATGAAAAAACAAACATATATATAAATATTGTTTAAACTAGACAAGTAATGTTATATTAAGTTGTATAATACTATTATATAGTATATATTGTTATTTTTTGTTATATTATCATATATTGATATATTCAGTTATATTAAACGTAAGTACTTTATAGCATCAAACTTTGACTCCAGATTCTTAGCAACAACCTACTCTGCTCGAAAATTTTTTATTTTTTTTTATGCTGTTTATGTTCAATCTTTGTTTGTATTTAGTCCCTCTTAAAATAACAAAAGCTCCAGCAAATGTACTGATCAAATCGGGTGAAGTTGGGACTTTTAGTTGTTCTGTTGATGGATCAGCACCTATTCAATGGTTATGGCTTAAAGATGGTCATATTCTTCAGTCAAGTAGTCTTGTGTCTATTAAAGATGATACTTTAACAATATTTGATGCAAATATTGATGATGAAGGTGTCTATCAATGCATGGCATCAAATAAATATGAAACAGTACAATCTGCAGCACGTCTTGTTATTGATGGTACTTAAACACTAAATATAAATAAATTTTTTAGAGTGAATTATATCAGAGAAGTGAGTATACAATCATTATGAGTTGAATGTGATGAATTCAATTTCCTGTTCCAGGTTCTCTACCAAAAATTGAATCAATATCTGGTGATGGAGTGTTTGAGCAGGGGTCTTTACTAGAATTACATTGTTCAGTCAGTGGACAACCTCTTCCAACTATCAGTTGGTTTCTTGACAATGAAAAACTTGATGAGAAATTAGCAAATATTACTACACGAGTTGATAAAGCAAGTAAAGTTGTTTCATTTCTTACTGTTTATAATTCAAAGTCAAAAGATTCTGGTCTGTGGTCATGTATAGCTGAAAATAAAGTAGGATATGTTAAAGCATTTTCAACAATTTCAGTAAAAGGTTAGCTAATCAGGATATTGTTTTCTATAACAATTATATTAACTTAAATATTTGATAATATTTTTATATATATTTTTTATGTCTTTTAATGTGGAAACCTATTTCTGCAGAACTTTTGAATCAAGAATATAACAATAAAAAAAGTTTAAAAAATAAATTTTTTTAATTTTAAATTTGATTAAGGTTTTCCAACTATTATTAATTTCAAAACTCATGTTTATGGCGTATCAAAACGGCCCATATTTATTGACTGTCGCGGTAAAGGTTATCCAGCTATTTTCTATAAATGGTACAGAGAAGGAGTTCAAATAGTAGATAGTAGTAATGTTAAAATATTTCTCAATGGAACTCTTTTCATTAAAAGGTTTTCTGAAAACAATGTTGGTTTATATTGGTGTGAAGTAACAAATATATATGGCAGTTATAAAGCAACTCTCAATGTTATCTTTTTAGGTATTTTATTTTTATGTATATATATATATATATATATATATATATATATATATATATATATATATATATATATATATATATATATATATATATAAATTATTCTTTCTTTTATATAAATATATATTAATTTTTGTAATAAATTGTTTACATTATTTAACTTTTTTAATTTTTTTTTTTATTGCAAATTCTTTAGATCCCCCTCAAGCTCTCCCTTTTACTCTTCATTCAGTTTTAATTGGTGACAGATCTGAGTTCTTTTGCTCATTGACTAGAGGCTCTGCTGTTGGTTTAAATTATTCTTGGTATAAAGATGGTGTAAAAATAAGTGAAGGTAATCAAAGAACCTGGCTGATACAAAAGGTGAAAGAAAGTGACAGAGGAAGGTACACATGTGTTGTAGAAAATAATGATGGAAAAGATTCTTACTCCAATGACTTTACTGTTTTTGGTATTTTTTAATTATTTTTCTTATATTAAACAATATATAGTAACTGACTAGTTTTTGAAAGAAAAAAATTAAAAAAATTGCTTATGTATATATATTTCCTTGTGAGTGTCTCAATTTTTAGTTGATGTATATACCTTTTGTTTAAAAGTTGCTTAAGTAGAGTATAAATTGCTTAAGTAGATTATATGTTGCTTAAGTTATTCAAACTTTATTCAAACATTTTAAATTTGATTATCAATCATTAGACCTCTTGGTTCTGAAGCTAGTGCTCTAACCACTGCGCCATGTATGTATGTATAAAGGTAGGGATTAAATACATTTGGTCAAATGCAAATTTAAATACGTTAGTTCTAGGTTATATTTTGTTAAATACATTAACAAAAAAAAACTTTTTTTTTTGTTAATGTATTTAACAAAATATTTCTTCAAATAATTAAAAACAATTTTTTTTTTAATTTTATTTTTTAATTTTTTATTTTTAACTTAATATGAAGTAATTAAAGACGAATTACTGAAACTATTTGATAAACAATTAAAAAAACTTACAAGACAATTCTAATAAAATGGTGTACTAAATAAAAGAGTAAAAACAATTCTTCAAAACAATGTCACTTAAAAACAATTTCTTTAGTTATTTTAGTTTTAAAAAATGAAAATGATTATTTTTTGCAACAACAACAAAATAAAATCTTTTGGTTTTTACAAAAAAAAAAACCCAGTTACCTAGTTTATGGAACTACATTTCATTTCATGTTTCAACCAAATAAATATATTATAAATTAAATATTTTAAAATGTTTTAAATCAAATACAACACAAGTACAAATGCTTTAATATACCCCTGGTATGTGTATAATTTAGCCTATTTTTACCAACAAGTCTTTAACCCCCTGGTATGTGTATATTTTATATTAGGGTGTCCCAAAAAACAACATTTTTGAAAAATACATGCTGCAACCCCTTAATATGTTCTATTTGATAAAAAAAAAAACACAAAAATTTAAATTTTTTATGCTGTTAAATCTAACATATATATATATATATATATATATATATATATATATATATATATATATATATATATATATATATATATATATATATATATATATTTATATATATATATTTATATATATATATATATTTATATATATATATATATATATATATTTATATATATATATATATATATATATATATATATATATATATATATATATATATATATATATATATATATATATATTTGGCAAAAAACTGCTGGTCTGATTTCTATGTTTTACGGTAACCCCTTTGAGATAAATTATTTTTGCCAACATAATGCTGATCTCTAAAAGCTTGATATTGCTTTGATTGGTTGCTTGCAGCCTTGTTAGAAGTGAAGATGTTTATATACATATATATATATATATATATATATATATATATATATATATATATATATATATATATATATATATATATATATATATATATATATATATATATATATATATATATATATATTTGGCAGATTGAAATCTGCACAAGAAACAGATTTTAATCTGCCAAATATTTTCTGAACTTGAAGCTATTTCTTTTTCCGATGATTGTTTTTTTTTTTTTTTTTTTTTTTTTTTTTAACATCTTCACTTCCAACAAGGCTGCAAGCAACCACTATAAGAGTTGGAAGTTACTGGAAGAGAAAAGACTAAATCTGTAGAGCAAGATAACGATTGACTCATGACTTAAAAGATTGCAAATTATATGAATCAGAAAAGCAAGATGAAGGAAGCGAATTCCAAAGAACTGATGTTCGAGGAAAAAAACTAGAAGAATAAGAGTTTTTGAAGCACTTAGGAACAGTCACAAAAAAAGGATGAGACTTAATTGAATGGCGAGTAACACGAGAATGAATTTTAGTAGATGGCACAAGGGACGCTAGCTCCTTAGAGCAGTGCCCATTATAGTATTTGTAGAAAAGAGAAAGAGAAGCAACATTACGACGATGTGACAAAGGTTGGAGATTGGCTGCCAGAGCAGGTCCAACTATGTTTACAGTTCGTTTTTGCACCTTGTCTAAAAGAGAAAGAGCATCATTAGAAGATCCGCCCCAGATGTGGCAACAGTATTCCATACAGGGACGGATTTGAGATTTATAGAGATAGAGAATAGAATCTGGAGTAAGAAAGTGTCGAGCTCGATAAAGAGATGCAACCTTAGCAGATGCTAATTTTGCAATGGATTTGATATACGGTTTAAAAGAAAGATCAGAAGTAAGAGTTAATCCTAGAAGATGAATGGTAGATGACTCATCTAGTACATTACCATTCATAAATATAGGAAGATCTAAATTATTACGATAACGATTGGCCGAATAAAATTGAGTTTTATCTGAATTAAAGTTCACCAGCCACTGTGAGCCCCATGCTGTAGCAGAAGTGAGATCCTTTTCAAGCTCAGATACCCCCTCCAAGCAATCAGAGAGTGTAGGCTTCTTATCATGACAAGAGTAAATGGTAGTGTCTTCAGCGAATAATGCCACCTTAGATGTGAGAATATCTGGAAGATCGTTAATGTAAATTAAAAGAGTATAGGGCCAAGGATTGAACCTTGAGGAACCCCTGAAGTTACAGGATGTGAAGAAGAGTGTTGTCCATCGAGGACAACTTTTATACTACGATTGGAAAGAAAGGACTCAATAATCTTAAAGACGTTACCAGCTACACCATAAGAAGAAAGCTTATGGAGAAGACCAGCATGCCAAACTTTATCAAAAGCTTTAGAAATGTCAAGTGCGATAGCCTTAACCTCTCCACCTCTATCTAATGCACGGTAAAACCTATCGGTTATTACTGTTAGCACATCAGCTTTAGAACGAGAAGACCGAAATCCATATTGATGATCAGAAAGTAAGTTATTTGATTCAAGATGAGAGATTAAGTGTTTGTTGATTAAAGATTCAAAAACCTTGCTTATGACAGGAAGAAGACTAATGGGACGGTAGTTAGATGAATCAGATCGCTCTCCGGAATTTTTGAAAATAGGGATAACAGATGCTGCTTTCCAGCATGATGGAAAACAAGACTCTGATAAGCACTTGTTAAATAGTTTAGAAAGTATGGATGAAAGCTCCGGAGAACACCTCTGCAAGACTACAACAGGAATGTTGTCAGGACCACAAGCTGTTGAAGAGTCTAAGCAGGAAATTACTTTAGATACAGAAGCTGAAGTGATGCGAATGTCAAGCAAGGGATCAACCTGTTTGACGGCTATGTCAGGTAAAACGCAACTAGTGGAATCAAGAGATGATATTGATGAAAAGTTCTTAGCAAACAATTCAGCTTTGTCTTTAGGTGAGGTGACAAAGTCTGAACCATACAAGAGAGAAGGAATAACAGATTTGCCCTTATTATTGATACTGTTAAAGATTCTCCAGAAGTCTCGAGAGCCTAATTTTTGTGATGAGATACGAGATTTAATGACCTGGGAATAGCGAGCTTTGGCGTCAGACAAAACCTTTTTACAATGGTTTCTGGGGATAGTGAACAGATGTCTGTTTTCTGGAGAATTGTTTTGCTGATAGATATGGAAGTAACGGTTTCGATTAGAAATTGCTGCAGCGCAATGTGAGGAAAACCAAGGAGAAGAGTTTTCTATAGACTAAAGGAATTGTTTAGGTAATTTTTAAGGTAATTTAATTAATTTTTTTAATTAGTAATTTAATTAATTGTTCTCTGTAGGCTAAAGAAATACTTCTTGATTGCTTTCCCTATCTTTTTAGTTGATCTTTGGTGACATAGAATGTTGAATCTTCTTTGTTTAAAGCTGTAACAGTTATCATTTTGAATTTTTTCAACATCATATACTACAGAAAAAAATCTCAAAGTTTTATTATTTTCTCATTTAATTGATGTTGAGCTGTTTCACAAAGAGTTTTTTCTTCTGGTATTTCTTTAATACTGATAACAGTCCTCATAAAAGTGTACTTTGTAATTTGTTGCTAACTGTCTGATTGAAATGTAAAAATAAAACCATATATGAATTATATATTTGTATTTTATATATTATATAAAATGAATTATATAATTTGTCTCAATTTGAGCAAAATAAAAAAATATAATGCACAATTACATGTTTTGGTAAAAATTGGCGTAATTATATTATCACTTTTATTGCAGAATTGTTGTAATAATTTATAAATTTCCTGCATTAATACAATAAGAAAGTAAAAATTTTTTTTATAAGCAGTCAAAATTTTAATAGCTATAATAAATTTAATAAATTTTAATTGTCAAATTTTCCATCAAATAAGTAAAGTTGCTATTCAAAAAATGGATGAAAACCCAACCTTGTGTGAAAACCCAAAGAAAATGCTTATCCAAGATTTTCACATCAAAATAAATGATGGTCTTTATGCATATATACTTGGAACAATATCATTATAAACATATCCTTGTAACAAGTATAAAATTATTTTTGTTTTAATGTGTAATTTTTTCAATGAATAAACAGATATTTAATGCAAAAAATGAAAGCTCTTGTACAAAGCTCTTTAGAGGAGCAGCTCTCATGGCTCGCCATGTCTGTTTTAGGATAGTATTTTTTTGGCTGAGGCCTATGCATGTACATTGGCATTTGGTAATGTCGTCTTAACTGGAGACCTTAAAGTATTTGAGGTTGTGGTAAAATCTTTGTGTCAAAAACCAGATTTTGACCTCTAACTGTTTAAAGTTGGCAATTTAATACAGACGTTATTTTTTCTAGCTCTAAGGGTTGATATATATATATATATATATATATATATATATATATATATATATATATATATATATATATATATATATATATATATATAAATTGTGTGTATTTATTATATTTTACTTATATTCATTTTTGCTAAAATAATTATTTTTTTTATCTATAGAAGAGCCATCCTTCACAAAATCACCAAATGATGTATCTATCCTTGAAGGAAAACCTGTGACACAACCATGCTTAGTAAAAGGTTTTCCACAACCACAAGTTACATGGTTTCGAAAACTAAATGGCAAACTTTTAAGACTTAATCTGAACAATCGAGTCAGGCAGTTACAAAATGGTTCACTGTACATTAGAGAAACTTACGCTTTAGATAATGGGACATATGTCTGCCAAGCCTCTTTTTTTGATCATAATATTGTTCCAGATCCATTAATGAAAGAAATTCTACTAGAAGTTAGAGGTAAAATTATATATATATACTTATTTAAAAAATTGCTGTAAATACTCAAAAAAAAGTCTAGGAAAAAAATATTCAAATGTATAACTATGTTTAAACATAGTTATACATTTGAAGATTTTTTTTCCTACATTATTTCAAATGAATTTTTTAGAAAAGAAAAAAAAACATTGTAAAAGATTGCTGCCTTAACCCTAACCCTTAGTTGATGTAGTGGCACTCATTCCATTCATTCATTCCATGTGATTCTTATTTAGTCATGATGTCTGTTCAAAATGTTTGTTAAATTATATATATATATATATATATATATATATATATATATATATATATATATATATATATATATATATATATCAGGCTTGGTCGGGAAGCGGGAGCGATCGCTCTCGAATACTGACCACGGAAATTATATTTAGTTGCATAAAACTGGCCAGGTTTTTTAGTCGTTTTGAGAACATTTAAGTTTATGTACGAAACAAAAAATTTTTGTTTTACGGACATACATGGAAACATAAAAAACTTGAATGTTCTCAAAACATCTTTGTGCGAAAGAATAAAAAGAATATTTGCGAACACTAAATTAACGAACAAACTAATTCTATTGGTTCAAAAAATACGCTGTTTAAGCGAAATAAAGATACATTACGATAAAAAAAATTGTTTTTTATCGTAATGTATCTTTTAAAGCAATTTTTATGATTTAAACAAAGACTTACAAAAATAATTGCGTTTTCAATGAAGTTATAATCGTTAAAGTTAATAAAACTAATTATGTAACAAACATATAAGTAGTTTCTGGTTACTAAACACAAAAAACGCATACAAAGTAACTCGCGGATGAACAAGCATTGCGCCTGAGGTCACGACAGAACACAAATATATATAGCAAATAATTAGATATAAAGAAAAGTTTCTAGATATTGGTTTACTTACTCTAGTTATTTTCGCTTAAGTTGCCATTCTTAAAACTCGTTATACTTTTTTCTGCTTTAAATACTAATTAAAATTAAAAAGCCCACTCACTAAACATCATCAGCGATATTGCGAAGCAGTTTCGCTTCCTGGTCATTAAGTATTTTTAACCTTTTTAGTTGATTTCTATCTTGATTATTTAATTCCTATAGTAATTCGATGATTTAATTTTTTCATTTGTTTATCTTACTAAGAAGAATCGCTTCAAATATGTTAAATTTTTCAAACTACTCGAAACATAAAAAATAGGTATTAAAAAATTAACTTTTATATTTATAAAATAATTTAGCTTAAGTAAAACTAAAACTTGCAAACTTAGTTAAATAAAGAATATTTATTTCCCTTTTAAACAATCCTAAGTTGTTACTTTATATAAAAAACATCGCTTAATTTTATTATTTTTGTAATTGTCTCTCATCGGTCCAATTAATCTTCGTCGCTTTTTTTTTTTGCTTTTTAAAATGTTCTCAAAACGACTAAAAATTTGGCCAGCTTTTCGCAACTAAATATTATTTACGTGGTCAGCAATCGAGAGCGATCGCTCCCGCTTCCTGACCAAGCCTGATATATATAATATATATATATATATATATATATATATATATATATATATATATATATATATATATATATATATATATATATATATATATATATATATATATATATAATATATATATATATATATATATATATATAATATATATATATATATATATATATATATATATATATATAAATATATATATATATATATGTATATATATATATGTTATATATATATATATGTTATATATATATGTATATATATATATATGTTTTATATATATATATATGTTATATATATATATATAAATATATATATATATATATATATATATATATATATATATATATATATATATATATATATATATATATATATATATATATATATGTTTGTTGGATTTTAAAGTTTTGTAAAGTTTTTCTATTTTGAAATATTTGATAATATAAGACATAAAAAAAAAGTATAACTGTCTATTAATCACTGCAAATTATTGTTTTATTAGTAAATACCTTTAGAATTAGTTTATACTTAAATCTGTTTCAGCGTATATTTTTTTTATAAAACAAATGTTTAGTGAGATTTGAAGATTTTTTTATAGAACAAATATTTCAGATTCGGAGATTTTATTTTTACATGATGATTAGGGTGTCTCAAAATTTATTTTCTATTTTTGAAGTTTAAAGTGTAAAAAAGTGAAATTTTTATCAAAATGTATAAGTAGCTTTTGCTGAAAATTTCAGCCTGAAATTCAAACCTGAAGTAAAGGTGTTTTTAGCTAACTCTTACATATGAATCAAACATTATGTATGATGCTAAATTATTGCAGTCTTGACATTAATAATATTACAAAACAAACTACTGTACGCTTCAATTTCAGACTATGTCTTCAGAAAAAAATACTAATATTTAACTGAGGATCATGAAAGGATTGCTTTAAGTATTTCTTTGTCTGAACTGACACTTTTTGCTTGGTATTTTGAAGATTAAATACACCAAGAGAAGTGATCTGGCCATTGCCATTCAAAGTATCCTCAAATACTATCATTAGGATGTGTGTGCTAGATGACACATGCTAGAATAAAAAGCCATAAAGAATGTTATTAAATATGCTTTGCAAAGGCCTGTTCCCTGATGTGCAGACACTATATCTCATACCAATTAAAAAATTTTCTAATGTGAATAATAGCTTCATTAAATGTCCAAGTGATTTCGACCAAGACAAAATGTTGTGATAATATGCATAATTGCAACCCTTACTACTAATAAATTTACTAAAAAAAAACAACTCAATACTCACTTAAATCTATTAGGCATGTATCTCATACCATATAACTTATTCTTGGCCCATCAAAAAGTCTAAGCAAAGGCTCTATGTTTCACTCAAGTAGATTTGGCTACATATAGACTGAGAAAGTTAATAAACTTAAAATAATAGTTATATTTAAATGGTCTCAAAATGCTTTCAGGCTAGGTACTCATTTGCACAACTATTCAGTAGAAGCTAAAGAATTCTGCAACACAGCACTTCAGAAAGACATTTTCAGAAACCTGGAATCCAGACAAATTATCAAAAAATTACATTGTCAATTCCAAAGTCATCTTTTGATGATTTTTTTAATGAGGTGAGTTGTCTTCTTTTTATTCTCCTGAAAAGAAGACAACTAGGAAAGAGCATTTATTGTAAAAAGTAAAAGATATAGTGGTATAGTTTCATAAAATAAACTAAACTATAACCAAGCCAAGGTTTAAATTTTTGTTTCTTCAACTATCTTACTCTTTTTTAATTTGTTTTTTTTGTATCCAAGGCTGTCCAAAAATACAAAATCCAAGAAAGTCACAAAAAATTATTTGCAGAGCGTACAGAAAGTATACTAATTCTCAACACTTTGTTACTTTTTAGTCATAAAATGATATAATATATTATAACCTAAACAAGCGTTTTTAATTCTCAGACCTCTGTATGCAAAAATTAAAAAAATAAAATAATAAAAAGTTCTATTATACAAGGATTGCTTAAAAACACCTCATTTACCTAAGAGTTTGCATAGTGAGCTGAAGATTTCACTGAAAACAATTTATACAAAAAAAAATTTTAAACTTATTTATAATAATAGCAATTTCACATTTTTGATACAATTATGATATATGTTGTGAGTTTTATTGAATATGAACCATGTGTAAAAATACATTTGAAATGATATTAACAAAAGGTTTGTATTGTGCTTTTAAAGATCATATAGAAAGCTATCTCGGCTATCTAGTTTTTTGAAAGATTTACATACTTTGTATTACAATAAAAATAATAGGTTTAATTTTTGGCAATATAATACTTATGTATTTATACTATAACAGTTAATCAAGTTTAAATTATATTTCTTTTAAATTACTTTTTTATAAAGTACCCCCAAGAATTGTGGCTACTTCTCCACTAGAAATCAGAGAAGGTAAAATGCAATCAGTTAAAATTTATTGTTCTTCTATTGGTAGCCTTGGGCTGTCTGTTAAGTGGTTTAAAAATAATGCCATAATTCCAAATGAAAATTCTAAACATGTGATCTCCACCACATTAAGTTATGAGAGTACACCACCCTCTCTAAATTCAACTTTACTCATTACTGTTTTATCACAAGATGATAATGGTAAATATGAATGCAACTTTATAAATCCATTTGGTAGTGTCAAGAAAGAGTTTTTATTGTTTGTGGAAGGTAGTTCATTAAATTTTTATTTTACTTTGATATTTTTAATTTTAAATACTAGTATGTTATTTTTGTCTTAAAGTAAAAAATATTTGTTTATGATTATTACTGAAATAATATTTTTTAATAAATAATGATGTAGTAAATTATTTTATTATTATTATTGTTATTATTATTGTTATTGTATTATTATTATTAAATTACATGTATAACACATAAATATTATACATGTAATTTAATAGTTACATGACTTATTAACATTAGTATTTACTTTGTTTACATTTCAGTTTGCAAATGCAAAAAATAATAAACAAAACATTTTAAATTAAAAGCTAAAACACCAAGTAAAAGTATAAATATAATGGCGTCTGTTTTTTTCTTCTTAATATTAAATAAATTTAAAAAAGTTACACAAGCAAATTTATTTTATGTAGTGGCATGGTTTTACCAGATACCTTTTCTATTAAAGATGAGTGAAGTAAGGGCATTAATTTACTTCCCGATATCACATAGAAATTTTATTTTATTTTACATTTATTTCATTGAAACACAAAGTGAGTTTGCCAATAATAAATTTAGAGAATTTTCAGAAAATTTTTTTTTCTATATGGCGATAAAGTTTGAGTAATCTTTTTAATCATAAATACATTTGAATGAGTTTCTTTAAGACTAAACACATCATGTGACTAATATTTTTTTACTATATTGAAGTACTCTTCTAGTCAATGACAAGAGTCAAAGCATCTTTCATATGATGTATGGATATATGCAAAGTAAAGAGCGCCTGCTTTATAAGCAGGAGATCCAAGTTTGAAACGAGTTCTGGGCATATTTTCGCATCACAGTAAAGAAGGAGGCGTGAACTTCCTGGTTAAATGCACTTCCGCAGTGCTCTGTGACGAGACTGTTAGGTCTACTTGGGACACCTAAAAATAATAAAAAAAAAAAAAGTGGAGATTAAAAGCCAAGTGTAGTTGTGTTGCAGGGGAGAAAAATTAAAAAGTTTATATAAATGTTTTATTGAAACTTTTATACTTTCACAAATTTTTCAAAATATTATTTCTCAATTAATGAATCTAAATAATATTTTCCAATTTTCTAAATTTTTACAATTTAACAGCTTATCTTATTACGGTTAATTAATAAAATCTTGACAAAAAAGTAAATTATGTAATTTTGATGCTAAATTTTTTTTATTGGTTAATTTTTCTTTAAAAATGATTTAAATTGCAAACATGTTGTGAATATATATATATATATATATATATATATATATATATATATATATATATATATATATATATATATATATATATATATATATATCTTGATGTTCCTGCTGAAGCTCAAATTTTTAAGAAACTTGGTTCTTTAAGTACATTAAGCACACTTTTTGTGTGTGTGTGTATATATATATATATATATATATATATATATATATATATATATATATATATATATATATATATATATATATATATATATATATATATATATATATATATATATATATAACCCTCCTAATTAAGAAAAGTGAGGTTGGCGAAAAAATTTGACTCAAAGAGATAACCATAAAGCATAGAAACTCAAACACTTTTAGATTGGCAGTTAGGTCTGCAAAAAATAAAAATTGACTATTTTGCCACCCACAGATTTTGGTTATTATTAAATGTAACAGCTTTCATTGTCCAATTGAATGTTGTTATTATGAACTGTCCAATGGAATAGTATTATTACGAATTGTGCAATGGAATAGTATTATTACAAATGTGCTAACTAAGAGCCTTGTTTTCAAATAAAAAGTTATTCATCATGCATTTAAAGAAATAATAACAATTAATTAACTCATGTGTAACATTGTTAAATTGTATTTACTTTTCTTTTGAATAAATTGAAAAATTTATTTTATTGATTTTATTTAATTTAGTTTATTGATTTGACTGAAAAAAGAAAAATTAAAAATGAACAGTTAAGTACAACATAAGTTAATCTGCTAAAAAAAATCCAGTCTACTCAAATGAAAAGAGATTTATTTAAGTCCAAAATTAGTTTGATGTAGTTAGCGTCTAAAAAAATTAAAAAATTGAAAACTTAAAATTTAAAACTACAAAACGAAAAAATACAAAAAAGCATGTAAATAGTTACAAAATAAAATTTATTGTGATTATACTTTTTGATAATTGTTGATTTTGATTTAAAATTATGTTAAAAATTTTTGAAATTTTCTCTTCCTTAAAATCTTTGAGTTCGCTGATTATATTTAAACTAGTATTTTTTCATTTTTACCTCTGATTACCATGGTAACAATTTTGCCTCTGGTTTGGTAACAAGCTTGGCATATAAAGCAGGTCCAACTAAATTTACATTTTGCTTTTGGATCTTGTCTAAGAATAAGAGGGTTGTTATTTGTCAATATAGGAATGTCAACAATATTGCAATAGCTGTTTACAGTAAATAACTGAGTTTTGTTGGAGTTAAAATCCAAAAATCACTGCATGCTGTTAATGAAGAGAGATCAGGTTAAAATGTGAAAACTTTTTGTCAAGAAAAAATTATAAAGTTAAGTTGTCAGCAAATAGAGCCACTATAGATGTATAAAGATTGTTATTGTGGATAAGAAACAAAATTGTAGTAAAAATTGCTTGCGGTACTCATAAAGTTACTGGAAATGAAGAAGAGTGTAGCACTTTTGAGAATGAATTTAATACTGCAGTTAAAAAAAAATAGTTTAATAATATTAAAACTTTTATATAAAGAAAACAATATTTTCAAAGAAACATTTAAATCTACTTCCTGGAGTTTCCTGATTAAAACAACCAACTGGTCAATGCCTATCAGGCATAATTTGAAAAAGAGTATAAAATTTGCTTCTAATTAAAGAAAACTAATTCTCCATTTTGAAAATATGGAAGATATATAAGAAAACTTTAAAATGTTTTGCCTGTTGTTTTTTGCACACATGTTTTAAATTATAAACAAAGCTAATAATATTTTTAAGATATAATATAATAATAATATTTTTAGAAGAACCTCATAGCCCTGAAAATCTCATACAAATTTCTTCAACATCTCGTTCCATTCATTTGTCATGGAGACCAGGTTTTAATGGCAACTCACCAATTATTTCATTTCGTTTGGAAATGAAATTATGGGCTGCTAACTGGAATTTAGGAAAGTTTTTTATTACAAAAGAGACTCAATATTTAGTTGAAGGTTTAAGTCCAGGTTTGAAATACAGTTTTCGTGTAAGCTCTTCAAATAGACATGGAATCAGCGAAAAAAGTGAAGAAGTATCATTTACGACAAAAGAAGAAGGTTTGCAAGTTATACAATATATTGTTATAAACAATTATTATAAAACATTGTATACATTGATCCTTTTAAATTTATGTTTATTTTATATAGCTCCTTCAGCGCCACCAAATAATGTTACCATTTTTAATAAAACAGAAGACAAGTTACTTGTGACCTGGCTTGTATGTGTTTTGTGTTTTTAATTGTAGATCAGTAATAATAACAGTATTGTGAAGTATTTAAAAATATTTAAAAATTTTTATATATATATATATATATATATATATATATATATATATATATATATATATATATATATATATATATATATATATATATATTTGGCATTGACTTAAGATGTTCAAAGAATACAAAAACTAAAGTTTGTATTCTTTGAACACCTTAAGTCAAATTTTAAAGACAAATTTTTATTTCAAGCTTTGAAGTTGAAATAAAAATTTGTTGCTATATATTATGTAACTTATATTAAAGTTATATTAAAAGTATAATTATATTATAGTAAATCATTATTCTATTATAAGCTCTACAAGTGCGTTACAAAAAATTTTCTCTGGTAGAAGTATATTAGATTTTTAATATAAAACTAAAGTTAAATATTTTTTTACACATATATTGCAAGCAGTCATTGTTCATGTTTTATCATGTTTGTATTTAAGATTCTATTTTTTATATTTATATTTTATTGGTAGTTCTTACAAGTCAACCTTGATTACCCAGAATTATTTTTGAGAGAATAATTTTTGTTAGGGTTAACTGAACGATTCTTGTTGACATTGTTTTATACATTTTCAGCAAGATTTACTGGAATTAGAGCACACCTATTTAGTCTGATAAGCTTTGAAGTTTTACAAAAAAGTTTAACATGTATATTATAAAAGAAATTGCATAGGACAAATTGAACCAGACTTTACAAGAGTTAGCCAAAAAGACAACAATATAAATAATTTTGATAGTTTATTAATTTTTTTTAACATCAGTAGTATGTTACATATAATGCTAATAGTTTTTTTTTTTTATAGGAGCCAGAAAAGGAATATCAAAATGGCATCATTTCGGGTTATCGTATTGGTTATGTACCTTCTGTTCATCGATCGGTACCAAAACAATTTATAGATGTTGGTGCAGTTAACTCTGCTCTTCTTCAAGGATTACTTCAGTTTACATTATACCAAGTTAGTGTTCAAGCTATAACTAGTGGTGGAGTAGGACCTTCCTCTGCTGATGTTTTTGCTTCTACTTTAGAAGGAGGTTGATAAAATTGTTTAGAATTGTACTTGCATATTTTTTACTAATTTTATTTTAATCTAAAATTTGTAATGTTTAACATTACAAATTTTAGATTAAAATAAAATTAATAAAAAATAACATTGTTACATTATACAGTTCCATCTCTTGCTCCTCCATCTGTAAAAGCACAAGCAGTTGGTTCTCAGACTTTATTAGTTAGTTGGAAAACGGTTCCTGAAGATGCTGTGAATGGAATTTTATGTGGTTATAAGGTATTTATTTTGTAGAACTATTTATGCAAAAAGTAAATGATATTTTGAAAATTTAGTGCTGATGATGATGATAATGATGACAATGATGATGATGATGATGATGTTGTTGATGTTAATGATTATGATATGATGATGATGGTGATAATCATCATTATCAGTCTTCTCTGTTTTATATATTCATATATATATATATATATATATATATATATATATATATATATATATATATATATATATATATATATATATATATGTATGTATGTATGTATGTATGTATGTATGTATGTATGTATGTATGTATGTATGTATGTATGTATGTATGTATGTATGTATGTATGTATGTATGTATGTATGTATGTATGTATTTATGTATGTATGTATTTATGTATGTATGTATATATCTATGTATATATGTATATTGATATATATTGTATTGATATTAAACTAAATTATAGAGAGATTTCTGGTTTATATCATACAGAATAAAAAATAGTAACAGTTACACTTATATATTAAAATATTTAATATATTTTAATATATAAGTGTAACTGTTTTCTGCCTCAATTTTCCCAATTCCCAAGGTTGAACTATTATAATACTAATATATACATATAAATTTTTATCTATAATTTTGTTTATATTTGCAACATTACAATCTTAAGGTGATTTATATTGATGTTGAGCGTTCAGAGAAACGAGAAAAGTCTGTTCTAAATTCTCAGCAGATTGTGTTAAATGGTTTACGGAAATTCACTGACTATCAAATTAATGTACTTGCATACACAAATGCTGGAGATGGTGTTCCAAGTCAATCTATTTTTCAAAAAACAAATGAAGATAGTATGTACATTTTTTTATTTGAATATTTTTCTCTAATTTTTTTTATAGAAATTTGTTCACTTTATAATCTTTTTAAAATAAGTTCCAGAAGCACCATCACTTTTTTCTGCGACCCCTGCTTCTCCAACTGAGATTGGAGTTACATGGAGTGAGCCAATAAACCGCAATGGTATCATTACAGACTATGTCCTTTATTATCAAGAAGTTGGTCAATATTTAACTCATCGAATAGAACTGAAAAGTACTCAGCAATCTTATAAGCTGCAAGATTTAAAGTTTGGACAAAAGTATATTATTTGGATGTCTGCAAAAACATCAAAAGGGGAAGGGCAAACCACTAAGAGAATAACAACCACACCAAAAGATCAAGGTTATATGTTTGTTTAAAATGTTCTAATGTCAATTATATTTTTAATTTTTTACAATATTTTAAACATTGTCAAGCATTAAAATTTTTTTTTTTTTTTTTATGTTGATTATACTAGTTTATATTGATTATTTTTGCAAGAAAAATGTTTTTATGTTGTACACTACAAGTTTTTAAAAAATTTCAAATCATTTTTTTACTAAAAAAAATATTTAACTTGTTTGTTAATTACAGTAAGCAGCCATTATTTAACTTAAGAAAGTAAACAAAAAAACAATAAAGAGCAATTAAGTAAAGAGCAAAAGCTACAAAAAATTTCAATTGTATGAGTTAGGAAAGCATGATGTTCCACTTCCAAAGCTTGCAACTTTGTTGAATGACAATTGCAAGATTGAGTTTTTGTTAATGAAACAATGGATGAATGATTGATTGAGCAGTGACCAAGTTCTAGAAAAAAGAAAGAGATGCTTTTTATGATAATGAGACAGAGGCTCTAAGTCATTAAAAAAATCTAAATACTACAACAATATTCCATAATGTAGAACAAAAGATTTGCAGAGAATTAAATTAGGAGTAAAAATATGACAGAATAAAAAGAGGAACCAAATGCTAACTTTGCATTGATTAGTGCAATAATTAAATTAAGTGCAATTTATAATTGCGATTGGTTTTCACATGAAAGATAATCAGAAAAATCATAATGAATATGAAATAAATACTGCAATTAAAAAGAAATGATTCATCAACTTTAAAAATATTTTCCATTAAAAGAAAACTTATAAAGAAGACCAGCATTCTAGACATATTCCTTTTCTACAAAATGTAGAAGAGGTTAAGTGGAAAACAATTTAAGCAACAAAAGAGTAATTTAGATATTTAACGATGGATTAACCTGTTCTTTTTTATAGAAAAAGAAACAAATATAGATTGCCATGAAATTTGAGAAATAAGTGAAAAAGAAGAAGGTATGATGAGATTTTCCAAAAGTCTCTAAAATGTAAGTTTTCTGATAAAATAAAACACATGATTTTGTAACCTGAGAATAACTGATCTAAGCGTTAGACATGATGACATCATTGATTTCTTGTTATAATTAAAAAACACTAATTTTTCATTTTTTCTGAGTTTTTCTTGTGGAATTAAAGGAATTAGATTAAGGAAATTGTCAATGAATCCAGATGATAGTAAAGAAGGCACAATTTTCAGCAGAAATACAAAAGACAGCCCTAGAACTATGACTAAAAGACATCAGCCCTAGAACCAAGACCATAAGTCATAAGCCCTAGAACCATGACCAAAAAAGTACAAAAATATCCCAGTTAGCCTTAAGTCAGTAGTAAGAAGTGAATTTTTTTTATCTTTTTTTTTTTTAAATTTCGGCCCAAAGAACTTCCTGACCCCGGCTTAGAACTTCCTTAGCCTCTATAATCCAGCACTGCTGTGAACCAAAGAATAACAACCATCAAACTCAAAGTGAAAACAGTCAAATTTATAATAGAAAAAGAATAATTTATAACAAAAAAAGAATAATGTATAATAGAAAAAGAAATTTATAATAGAAATAAAAAAATAAAAAAATTAGATTGCAAAAGCAGAATCTAAAATATCTTTGAGATAAAAAAGATTTTTTCAAGATGAAAAAATACTTTGAAGACCATAACTATTTGTAAAAGATAGGTTAAAACAATTTGGTACTAATGATGGTTTAATAGTTTTTGAAGTTTTTTTTCATGTTTTAGTATATATTATAGAACTTGAATGGATCATTGATAAGTAATGACAATCTATAAGCTATTTATTTGTCTCAGTCCAATAATTAAATAAAAGTTGTTAAAAAGGCTTCTTAGGTGCTCTCTTGTCAAACTTTTCTTACAAACTTCTTGTCAAACTTTTTTCAAACTATTTCTTCAGGTTTTATGAAGAAATAAGTTTGACAAAGTATTTGCAAGCAAAGTTCAATATGCTCAAAGCAAATCAAAAATTGCGCGATCTAATATATAATTTTTGCAATTTTATCAATAATTTTTGTAAAGTGTCTCAAAAACAGTTAATATTTTAAATTATTCCTGGGGGTCTTTTGTATTACTATTATTTAAATAAAAAATTATATTGATCTTTATTTAAAAAAAAAAAAAAAAAAATTTTAGGCTTTTAAATATTAAATCATGATTTTTTTCCTAATTTTTTAATAATTAATAATTGAATTTTTATTTTTTCCTTTTTTTTGATAACTTGATCGTTAAAATTTTTGTTATAATATTTGTATAAATGTTATAATTTAGGTGAATATTTTTTGCTAGTATCTTGTAGCAATTTCAAAAAGAAAGTTCAAGAAACTTTTTTATTTCCTCCATCAAATAAATGAAACTTTATTTATACTTAATATTTATTTATGTTTATGATATATATTATAGATATATACTAAATATTTATTTTGTTGTATAAATAATATTTATTTAATATATTATTATGAATTGCTTAAATTAATTTAATTTTATCAAACAACATTATTGCCTTCTAAATAATTAATTTTTATATAAATTGAGTTAAGCATAATTTACAGAATTTTTTAATAAAAAATAAAAATCTTATATATTTAATTTTAAATATAGTTCCTTCCAAAATAATTACTCCTTCTCGTTTGACATCAACAGCGAAAATGGGTTCTGATGTAACTCTTCCATGTGCAGCTGTTGGACATCCAAAACCAATTATAACTTGGTACAAATCCAGTCAATCATATTCATCAAGAAAACAAAAGCGTTTTATGGTAGCTGATGTACCTTACACTCTTCATAATGTTCAGGAGGAGGATGAAGGCTCTTATAATTGCACTGCTGAAAATAAATATGGAATTGATTGGAACATTGTGACACTTATAGTACAAAGTAATAATTTTTTTAATAATTTTTTTTATTTTTATGTATAACTTTAATATTGTAATTGTTATTTACTATTTTAGAATTGTCCTTGGTTATTATTGGTTTTATTTTCAAAAAATGAATATTAATAAGTTATCAAAATGAATTTTGATAAATTAAAAAAAAGGTTTTTTAAAAAAAACCCTAAAAAATATTTTTAAAATCAGCATTTAGGTCTTTTAAAACCTTTAATGTTTAAATTTTTAACTCAGTAAAAAACTCTGGCAGTTAGCAATAGATTAATTAAGTATTAATAACTAGCTGAGATCAGACCCGTATAAATACAGGTCTTTGTAAGTCTATTCCAAAACAAACGTTTCTATATTTTTTTCTTATATATCCTAGCTTTCCAAGTCTGTAAAATAAAGGTCTTTACCAATTTACATATCTATTCCACCCCAATTATTTCTATACCTATTCCTTATTTACTTCAATATTTTTTAGTAAAATAATTTATTCCGAAAAAAACTTTAAGAGAAAAAAACATAACATGCGCACCTTTTCCGCATTCGTAGAGTGTATAAGAGACTTATAGGTTTAGGTTTGTTTTTCTGCTAAATAGATTTTATTGATAGCTCAGTGGTTAAATGTGCTGTCATCAGTGTTGTTTTGGGGGTTTAAGGCCTCCTCTAAGATTAAAAAATTTTGAAGTTTTTTAAATCTTGCTTATACATTTATAGCAAAAATAATAATATAGCAAAAAAGATTTCTAAAATTTGATATAAAATTTTAAGTTTTCTCATTTATATTATACAAGATTATTCCATATAATGCCTGCAACTCAACATATGCTAAAGATGTTTACACTTACAGACGTTTGTATGTAACGCTATACAAATGGTCATAAGTCGTTAAAAAAGTTCATTTTTTTGATTATGATTAAAAACTAAAAGATAATATTAAATATTAAATGCTAATATAAAAGTTAAACCAAAAATACTTTGTGCATTGATATCAGTTTGTGGCTAAATAAAACTTTATGCATCAAGTTTCCTTTTGCATTTATCTTACATTTTTTGATTAATTTTAATGTTGCATACAATTGCACAAAAAGGTATAAAACTGGTACAGATATATCATTTCATGGATAAGAGTTTGTTTATTTATTACTATTGTATTTATTACAATAGTAATAAATAAATAGTTTTTGTCTTTTTTAGAATATATCCCATAAAAATTTAATCCATATATCTTTAATAGAAGAAGTTTTCCTAAAAAATTTAAATAAAAATCTTATTTCTAGCTTGTTTTTCTAGTTTTTTGCCACAAAGTGACGTCACATACACAAAAAAAGTTGTGGCTTCAACAATTTACGAAAAAGAAAAGTTAGAAAATTTTACTTATGTTACATATGATCCTGAATAAAACTAAATGAATAAGTGGATTTTTTACATTTTATAAACAATATATATATAAACAAATAACATATTTATTTATATATATATATATATATATATATATATTGTTTATATGGATGGTTAAACGCAACAAAGTTGAAAAAAAAATTAGTTTTTATTAAAATTAAAAAATGTTTTATATGTTTCTTTGCAAACACCAAACACTATACCCAAAATTTTTAAGTGCATTAAACTGCAATTACTTTTAATTTTTATGGTTTAGTGGCTTTTGTTAAGAGCTTTTAAATTTTGCATAAAAATTATCTCATTTCAACATATTTATTGTATCACCCATGCTGCAGCCGTTTTTCAAAACGCTATTAGGTAAAAAAAATCATTTTCAACTTTTTACAAAATAAGCTAGTTTAGATGTCTACAAATGTTATTAAATATATATTTTCAAGGTAGTTCTGAAAAAATTCATAAAAATTAATTGTTTCAAAAAACCTTTTACAAAGAGTTTCTCCTAATAATTTTTTTTAATTGTGTTTCTCTCGAAATACATAATAAACAAGCGTTTTGAAAAATGGCTGCAGCATATATTTATAGTAAAAAAAAAATGTAGCAAAAAAAACTTTTAATTGTAAAAAGAAAGTTTTTTCTAGCTTTTTCTAACATCTCAAACATGACATATACATATCAAATTTTCTTTCACGGTGTTTTGATGTTTTTAGAAATTTTAGCTTTTTTAAAATCTTTTCCTTTGTTAAAGTGTATGATATGTTTGTATATAATTTCTATAAAACTTCAAAAGTATTTTGTATTTTAAAATAATTGCAAAAAATTAAAAAAAAGTTGGCAGTGGTAGGACTCGAACCATGGCTTACTTGTTTATAAGCTCGGCCTGTTGTCAAAACAAAAAATTTTAAAGCTTTTTTATAATTTTTTTAACAGAAATAAATGTTATAGATCAAAATTAAGGAGAACTTGGCGCAATGCAGTTTTCAAGTAAAAATCAAACTGTAAAAATCAAATAATTTATAATCATTCAAGTTATATATAGCCATCAAGTTATTAAACTTATAATCAATGAGATTTGCTCAACTTTAAAATGATAACACTACTACTGGGTCAGAATTTCCAATTCTATGCTAATTTTTGAAAAAAGATTTGGTGTTGGGTGCAATACTTTCCTTAGTTTTTATTGAGTGTATTTGTATCGAAACTTGTATTGCAATTTGTGTTGCAACTTTATTGCAATATTGGTTTTAGTATTGCAATCAAGTATTGTGATGATGTCATAAAGTTAAATTTAAGTAGTTTTTTTAATTTTATTTTAACATAACATAGTATATTGTTATTACATAATATATTATTATTTTTAGCTCATCCTAAACCACCTCATGATATAAATGCATATTTGGTTCTTTATAATGCATTAAATTTTACATGGGTTTTGAGTTTTGATGGTAACAGTGCAATTACTGGTCAGCATGTGAGATATGTTGAATCGAGTAAAGCAAGTTCATGGACTAAAGTTAAATTGAATAGCATGCAAACTTGGTTTGTTGTTTATAATATTACTTCATCGACTATTTATTTTGAAGTAGCATCTGAAAATGAAGTTGGTATTGGTCAATACAGTGAAACAATAAAAATTGTTATATCTGAAAATGGTGAGTTTGTTAATTTGTAAATAATTCTTATAAATTATATTTTTATTAGAAATTTATAACACTAGGCAAAAAGTGAGCTGGCATAGTAGCTAATAAATGATTGACAAAAGTTCTTCTTCAATGAATTACATATGGAAAGCAAAACTTCTATCACTATAAAAAAAAATTTACATGTGTGCCTCATGTTCTCTAATTGTTAAAAGCAATCATTATTACTAATTGTTTCAACCATTTATAAATATTGTCGTCAAAGTAACTTTTCATTTGTTGAATCTAATCTTTTTCGAAACTCACCAGGCCTACTTGTTTTCACTTGTTTTTCACTTGTTTTTTGTCATGTTAAATTAGAGAAAAATTTAAAGAATAAAATTTAAATTTTGTTTAATCTTTGGCTATTATTTTAGTAGCTATTATCTTATTATTTGAAAAATCTCTTATAGTCATCTGCTTGATCTGGTATGACATGTCAATTCATGTCATAACATGTCGTAAAATCAGATTTGAAACTTCAGACTATTTTTTTATGTGCTTTTCACTTCTTTACTCAATCAACTTTTTTTTTTGTTTTTTATGTTTTTCCTCCCTTGACTTCACCCTTTTTGATGTTGTTCCTGATCAAATTGACCAAGTATCTCACTTTATCTCTCTTTATCCCACAATATCTCTCTTTATCCCACAGCCAATTTTGTTGTTATTGGTGTCTTTAATGCTCAAAACACTGAATAGCTTGACTCTTGATCAATTAACTTTGTTACTCTAAAGTGCAAAATGTTTGTCTTTGTCAACCTCTTACTTAGATAGTGACTTGTTTTACTGATAACTCTAATTGCTTACCATTACTTCGTAATGTTACCATGAATTCTTAATGTTTTGTTTTGTCTCTGGCTCTAGCTTGTGCTCAGTTTCTCATTGTTCTCCTTTAGATGGTTTAGCTCATGTCAAGATCTCACTAAAACTCTCAAACTCCTTGAATTAATCAGTCAAACAAATAATCAATTAGTCAAACAACATTACATTACATGCAAACAATTTATCAGCTAAAGCATTTCAGAGCGAAGGCATCTGGGATGAAAAAAGTTTCAAAATTAAGAACTTATTTATGTTGCATAAATTACAATATACAAAACATATAATCTATTTACAGAATTAATATCTATAAGTATCTGATTCTGATTCTAGTTTTTTAAAAATAATATATAATATAAATATAAATAATAATAAGCTAACAACTAAAAACATTTAAACTTTTTTATCGTTTTCAATTTTTTGAATTTAGTTAAAAAAAGAAAATATTTATTTTATTAACTCAGCTCTATTAAATATGCTTTCTGTTATACTTATATATACTTATATGCTTTACTAGTATACTGCTTACTTAACAGTAAAAACAGCTTTATATCTGTTTTACAGATATCTGTTATACAGAGCTTTACTTTTTTTTATGAATTTCATTAAAAGTTATTTTAACTTATGATTTTATATACATTGAATAAATTCGTATACACATTAAGTTTAATTTTAGCTGTTTTATTTGCATACTTAAGGAACCTAGATTGATAAATACTAGTTGTGCTCTTATTAAAAAATAAACCTGACCTCTAATAATGTATAAATTTAGAAAATATTTTATTTTATTAAAAAAGAAACCTGACCTCTAATAATGTATAAATTTAGAAAATATTTTATTTTATTAAAAAATAAACCTGACCTCTAATAATGTATAAAGTTAAAAATTTTTTTTATTTAATATAAAAAAAGTTGTATAATAAAAAGTGTCTTCCATTTAGATTTAAAATCTGTAATGAAAATTACAAATATACAACAGCTTTTTAGAAAATTGAAAATTGAAATTTCTAAAATTTGATCAAAGTACTTTAGCTAACCCTGAAGCAACTCTAAAGTTAGTGTACTTTAAGTGTAGTTTAAGTGCTTTAGATCTTATTCAGCTCTGTAGAGCAAAAGTTAAATAGAGCCTATCTACAGAGTTCTACAACATTCTTCTTTTTTTATTTGGAATCATTCTCGGATCAGAATTAGATATTCTGTGGAGTGGAATTGTGTAGCTGGAGTCAACAGCTAGAGTTTGCATTTTCACCCCTTTGGAGGGTTAATGACCTACCTCAGGGCATTCAATAAAAGCACATAATACATAATGGTTACTTGATGTATTTCTTTTCAGGTGTTATAAAAAGTTTTGAGCGGATTGTGTTTGTTGCTGAAGCTATGCAGTTGAAAAAAGTATCAATCAAGAAATATGTGCAACCTACCCTTATAGTTTTACTTATTGTTACATGCATCTTAATTATTCTATTATTAATTGCATCATGGGATAAAGATCAAAAAAGATTAAGAAGTAATTTTTTTATTTTTTTAAAAGTGTAACACTCATAATATAAGCATAATTATGTTTTTAATGTTATTCTGCATTTTTTGTACTTTTATTTATTATTTTGTTTTTTGATTCACTTTAAAGTACATAAAATGCCTTTTAAAAATGTTTTGTTTTGCTTTTTAATGCTATTACTGCCAAGTGAATAGACTAATTACATAATAAAATAACAATAGTTTATGTTTGTTTTTAGAAATTGTTAGCATTAGCTAGATGGTTATCATACTAATGATATAAAACAACTTAAGTTTTTATTATTTATATAAACTAACTTTAAGTTTTTGAATAATGTAAATGATTTTTAATTTAGTTATTTTTTGCTTACAAATGAAAATCTTTTTTTTTTTTGAAAAAAACCTTTCTTCTTTTTTTTTTTTTAAATCTTTTTTGGTAACAAACAATTGCTGACCCCAAAAACTTTTTTTAGTTTATGGAACAGCAAATAAAAACTTAAAACAAATACTTGTGTAAAAACAAATTACAATCAAAATCTTGTTTCATTTCAGCTTAACTTAATTTGGTTACACATGACTAAGAAAAGTATTTTTTTTCTAGGCAACACAAGTTTTGTGTTACCTACGAAAAAACATTCAAAGTTTACACTAGTATAGATAATTTTGAATTAAGTTATTTTTTAACAGGTCTGGATTCTAACTGGAGGGATAAAATGATACTTCTGTAAACCTTTTACTACAATTTTAAATTTAGAAAACAATCAATACATATGTTTATAATCTGAAATATAGATAATTTTAAATAATTTTAACAAAATAATATATATATATATATATATATATATATATATATATATATATATATATATATATATATATATATATATATATATGTAGAATATATATATATATATATATATATATATATATATATATATATATATATATATATATATATATATATATGTAGAATATATATATATATATATATATTCTACATATATATATATATATATATATATATATATATATATATATATATATATATATATATATATATATATTCTACATAAATATATATATTCTACATATATCTTATACTGCTGAGTTAGGTGAGCGTGATGACATCATACTGAAATAGCCTTCTGCGGAGCTTCAGTACATACATCGACTGACAAATAGCCTGACTCGCAGTGGAGTGCTGCTACATTGACTGAGGGTTTGGTATGGGTCAGCAACCTTTTCATTCATTATTCTTCGTTTTCCCTCATTGTTTCCTCACGATGCTCACTTAATTTAGGCTAGCAAAAAAAGTGAGCAATTGCGCATATAAATATGCTATAGTAGATATTTTTTTCCATTTTACACTGTGTTTTATCAAAAAGACTCATCAGAAATGCATTTCTGATGAGTCTTTGTTGATGAAACACAATGTAAAATGAAAAAAATTTTTGTTTAGTGATTTCTACTAATTTATAACTGCTCTGTTCTTTTAAGAACATTGAGCACTCTATTTTGAAGAATACATTTTTAAAATTGTTTCAATATATATATATATATATATATATATATATATATATATATATATATATATATATATATATATATATATATATATATATATATATATATATATAATATATATATATATATATATATATATATATATATATATATATATATATAAACAATTTTATATATATGTATATATAAACAATTTTAAAAATGTATTCTACAAAATTGAGTGCTCAATATTCTTAAAAGAACAGAGCAATTATAAATTATAAATTAGGCTTTGTAAGTTCGTAAAATTATAAATTAGGCTTCATAAATTATAAATTAGGCTTCATAATTATGTCGTAATCATTACGCTCTATTATAGGTAAAATTCTGACAACATTATTTGTAAAACCAGGACCCTTGATAGATAATTTATAATTTATATATATGCATATATATATATATATATATATATATATATATATATGTATGTATATATATAAATATATATATAATATATATATATATATATATATATATATATATATATATATATATATATATATATATATATATATATATATATATATATATATATATATATATATATATATATATATATATATTCAACCGTATTTGGGCGCTGCCCAAATTAAAATTTTAGGATATATTTAAAATTGAGGATATATATGTTTGAGGATATATATATGTGTATTTAGATATACAGAGTGAGATCATATTGAAAAAACCTGCGGCTGGGGGCTTCATTACATACATCAACTTTTTCATTTAGTTTAAAAGTTTCGTATAACAGTAAAAATACTTTTTCTTTAAATAAAAACTTTTAAACAAAAACAAAAAAAAATTAAAATAAGATTATGCTTTTAATTTGAGTATCATGGCTGATTGAGTTATTTGATACTGACATAAAAAATATATTTTTTGTCATTTATTTTGAAAATTACAATTTGTATAACAGTAAAAATACTTTTGATTTAAAATAGTGTACATTTCTATTCACCATAATAGTTCTAAAATTTAAGATATAATTTAGTAAATTAATATAATAATTATAATGGAGTAAAATAAAATAAAACTTTGACTTGAGAAAACAAAGTATTAACATCTGATTAAAACTTCTAAAACAAATATTTTCTATGCAGTTAATCATGAAGTATATGATTTTAAAGATAGAAGTTAATTATTATTGAAATCTTAATAATTGCGTATTTTCGAAATTATTAAATGCAAAATCCGCATTTAAAAGTTGTGATAACACGCATTTATTTTGTAGTTGTATAATTAGACGCTGTATTTTTATTTGGCTTACAAATATTTGAATTTGGTTAAAAATATTGTTTAAGGAAAGTGTTAGCTTTGATTTTTTTTACTTTAAGTTAAAAACAATTTCTATTCACTCGGATTATAGTGTTTTTGTCAAAATGTTCTTTTAAATAGCATTATTTTCTTTTTTTTTTGTAATCATTTTTTTGTGTTTTCATTTATTTTTTTACACACGTATTCTAGTATTAGTTGAATTTTTTAGAGCCTGCTGCATATCGTTTACTTTGCAGTTTTAAACGTGATCGCAACTTTAATAGTGATCCTTACGGGGAACCAGCATTACCTTGGCCATGGAATATTAGGTATTTATTTATTATATCTTGCAATTTATAATATATCTACTGGGTTGTCAGAAGTTCTAGTTTTATAGTACAGTAAAGGTCGTAATCATTACGCTCTATTATAGGTTAAACTCTGACAACATTATTTGTAAAACCAGGACCCTTAATAGGCAGACTGATAATACCAGAACCCTTAAAAACCTTACTTATAAAACTAAAGCTTCCAATAATTCCATACATAAAACATGATAGCTGACAACACAATGTGTTAAATCAGGACAACACTGTTTTTTAAAAGTCTCTTGTATCTCTGTATACAAAACTTTGTCAACTTTATGCATAGAAACAGGACCTCTGATAACTGATATTTATAAAAGTAAAACTTTCTTACATATAATTATATATAATTATATTTGAAAGGTGTATTCTGTTTTCAATATTAGAAAAGTTCAAACCACGGAGTATGATTTCATTGATACGTTTGGAATGCCTGATGAATACCTGCCAAATTTTTTGGCATCTGGTACTGACTTAATCATAAAAGAGCCAATAAAAAAGTCAAGCAAGATGTCTAAGTTATCTAAAGTATCGTCGTGCAACAGTTTTGTTTTTGAGCCAGCTGTGCATTATAGTGTAAATTATATCGATGAAGATAAAAAATATTCCGCAGACGGATCTTTTAAACGGTATAATGATAATACTCATAGGTTAACTGAAAAAGAAGATAATCCTGACGATGAATTTTCCGCAATGGAAAAGTTAATGCAAAGTCCTCCGTTCGAGCCTCCTTCCAACAAATATTCTTCAAGCAGAACAAACTTTTCTCCTGACGTTTCTTTGATAACGCTGAATTCGCCATTTTATTTTCAAAATCGAGGAGATGCTGATGGCAAATCGTGCAAAGATTCTACGTTGCTTAAAGAATCTACCATTAAAAACTACACTACTTTAAGTGGAAGTTCTCAAATATCTTTGAACTCTGTGTTTAAATCAAACTCAAGTAAGCCAAAAAGCTCAGATACTTTGAAAACGCTTGAAAGTATTGAAGAGAAAAAAGTGTTATGTAAACTTAATAACCGTGCCGAAATTTTGACATCGCCTAAAGTTGCACTTGCCATAAAAGAATATCTTGAATACACAGACTATTCCTATGAATCTATTTCTTCTTCGTGCAGCTCTAGTGTTAGCGAATTAAAACGGGCATATGATTTCGGTAAGAAATATGGTGTGCAAGATTCTTCGGAAACCGTTTTAAATACAAAGCAAGATACCTATGATAATAAAGAGAAGAATTTTCATGAATTATTTGAAACTTTGTTGTTTAGTGGCACACCTCGCGATTTAAATGACACAAGAGTTAAAATTCCGATTCCTATAAGAATAGACTATATGTACGATGTCAATAAAATTGATTTAGGCGGAACTTTGCGTGAACAATCATTAGTTTGATGTTTATGTTTGGATGTTTAAAAGAAAATATTTTTGAAGTTGTAAATATATATATTTAATTGTATTTATTGTAAAAGTATGCATGTGAATTTAAAAATGAAAATTATTTATTTAGTCATTAGTTATTTTTTAGTTTGAGTTCAAACCTTTTTATGTTTTTTATATTATTTATATTATTTTTATATTTCGTTAATCAAAAACTTTTTCAAATTATTAAAGTTATACGTATTATGAAAAAATATTATTTGAGATCTGTAATTGAATATCTTATCCGCCTAGAATATCATATTCCCCATTAAAAAAGATGCGATTTAAAGTATTAGTATTTAAAAATGCACCTAAGCCATCAGAAAAAACTTAATATAAACAATGTCTATAGTAGGTATATGTAGGATAGGATTTAAATACAGTATGGTATTCTAAGACAACTTACGACTGTTTTTTATGAGAGTTATTATTTATGTTATTTATTCATGATATTCTAAGATACAAATTGATATTAAAAGCTATAAATTACCAGTTTCAGCTGCCGGTTACGACTGTTATACATGGGGGATATGATATTCTACGAGAAAAATCGATTTTATATTCAATTTTAAACTCATAAACAGATTTTATATTTTATTAAAAAATATTATTAACAACCAAAGTTATGACTGAAAAATATCTCCAACAAAATACAAAATAAGAAGGTTATAAATTATTTTTGTTGTTGTTGTTGTTTAAGGTGCCCCAAGAAGATCTAACGAACTTATTACAGAGCGTTGCAGAAGAGCATTTAACTAGGAGTTCGCATCCTTCCTTACTAATGGCGCGAAATATGCCCAGAGCTCCCCTCGAACCTGCTTATAAAACAAACGCGTCATGTCCGCTGCACGGTCATGTTTTGCATTCGCCATAACCTTTGTGATTTACAATATTTTTGAATAAAATTCAAAACCTGTTGATGAATTTAAGTTAAGTATTAGATAATTAAGTTAAAAATTTTACTACATTGCTGCCCTCCCGTTTGGGTAGGGGTAATGGGGGGCACATTTTAGGACTTTTTGTTCCAAGATTTTTAACATAAACTTTTTTTTGTAAATCCTTATTTTTTTAGATTTAAATGTTAAAAATCAGGTTTAAATGATTAAAAAATAGTTTTATTCGTGTTATTATTATATGTTGTAAATCACAAAAGTTATGGCGAATGCAAAACATAACCATGCAGCGGCCATGACGCAATGGTTAGAGCGCTTGTTTTATAAGCAGGTTCAAGGGGAGCTTCTTTAACAGATAATATTAAAAAATATGATTGAATTTACAAATTTTTTTGAAGATTTATAGGCAACATACAGTAGACTTAGGATAAAATCAAACCCGATGCCACGCGATTAAGTGAAATTCTTACTTTGTGAAGTTATCCTTCAAGACTAATAAAAGTACACAAGTATTTTTTCATTAGGTACGAATTAAGTTGCATCATACATATTTTGTTAATTTACTCTGGTGATAATGTTATTGATAGATTTAGTTTTTAATTATATTAAAAGAATAAACGTTAGAACCTGGTTTTTGATACATTGAGGAGTAAAAGGAATAAATAAAAAGTATCCACGTCATAAAATTGTTGATAAAATCTTTATAGATATTAACCCTATTTATTAGCAATATAATCTTGATAAAGTTTACATACATATTAATTAGCTTGTTATTTTGTTCGGACGCTAAAATTTTAGGAATGTAACAAAAGCTTTCTAAAAGTCTATCTATAGGCTGACTGATCAACAAAAACTCCTTACAAAAATTTAAAAATCTTTAAAAAAATAACGTTGATTGGGATCTTGTTTTACAATCCCAAGGTATTTCTTAAGCAGTTTTGCAAACAGTACAAAAGAGCATTTCCTGAAAAAAAAACAGTCATTATGTCCATAGGCCTATTAAAATGCTCAAAAATTAAACAAAAACTGTATGATAAAATTTTTGAAAGAAAAACGTATAAAAATGAAAGAAAAACATACAAAAATTATAAAAATCTATTTAAAAAAACCAAAAAACACTCTTTACACTCTCAAAAAATTTATTACCAGGGCCGACGACACGAGTTTCGATGTCTGTGTGTACTTGATGTCATTGAAACATTTTTATTGCATATCTTTAAACTTTCTTTAAAATCTGGTGTTGTTCCGGATAAGTTAAAAATTGCCCGAATCATACCAATTTTTAAGAGTGGAGATGACTCCAACATTTTAAAATACAGACCAATTTCAATCTTGCCTTGTTTCTCAAAGATAGTTGAGCGTATAATTTACAACAAGATCTATGATTATCTGATAAAAAATGGCAAGTTGTATAAAAAATAGTTTGGGTTCAAAAAAAAGCATTCAACCGAACACGCAGTAGTCGAGCTTGTAAACGAGATACCGGACTATTTATCACTAAATCTTATAAATTTTATTCTATTTGTAGATGACTCTAATCTTTTTTATTCGCACAAAGATATTAAAATGCTTGTTAAATATATTAATGAGCAATTAGATAAAGTTAATGAGTAGTTTGTAAGTAACAAACATGTTTTTGTTTACTTTAAAGCTTTTTTTAATTTTTTATGATTGGCCCAGGCTATATTACAATAAGTTAGGTAACTTTGAATAAAAACAAAGTTTAAACCTTTTAGTGATTTAAAGTTAAGAAATGGTATATAAATATAACTAAAAATCTTTCCTATTGTTCCAGAACTTTTTTTTTCAAGACTATTTATATGAAAATTCCATCTTAAATTTTTGTCAAATTCAACGCCTAAAAAGTTTACAGATGATTCTCTTTTAACAATAAATTTATTTATAATAAGTTTTGGTTTTAATGGGACTTTATTTATAATAATGTTTAATTTTAATGGGACGTTATAAGTTTTATTCAATTTTTGGAACGAAATAAATCTAGTTTTATCAGCATTCAGAAAAAGTTTGTTACTTACAAACTACTCATTAACTTTATCTAATTTTTCATTAAAATGTTTAACAACTATTTTAATATCTTTGTGTGAATACAAAAGATTAGAGTCATCTACAAATTGAATAAAATTTATAAGATTTAACGATAAATAAGATCATTTATGTACAGTAGAAACAACAATGGCCCTAGAGTAGAGCCCTGTGGAACCCCAAAAGTTATTGAGTGTTTAACTATTTTTTTTGAATCGTTTCTTATGAATTATTTTCTGTTTGTTAAATAGTCTTTAAACCAAAGTAAATTTTTATTTCTAATGTCATAGTGTTTTATTTCTAATGCCATAGCTCATGCCATTCCTAAAACTTGATAACATTTTGACTGTCTATACCTACCTGCGAATTTTTGAAAAAGTGTGACCGCTGCATGTAAACTTAATGACAAACCTATGACAATTCGTATTATATACACAACACTCAGACCTTTTCTAACTTATTATAAACTGATTAGTAAGAGATTTCAGTTTTAATGTGATGGATTATTTTTTAGTAAGTTGATGATCAGGCCGTCTAGCGATATATTTATGTTTGGAGGGTCCCTGAATTATTTGTCAGAAAAATATATTTAGCCAGTCAGCGACTGGTGAATAGTACTATTCGCCTAATAAATAGTACTATACGCTTGACGAATTGTAATTATACGCTTAACGAATAGTAATTATTTGCCGAGCGGATAGTACTATTTATTAAACTTAAGTACAAAAGTTTAACGAATAGCTACTTGTTCATCGTTTAAAAAAACACGATTTGCCGGTGCTAACTACTTGATGTTTAAGCTAATCAAGAAACATCAACAACAAAAAAAAAATTTTTAATGACATTTATTGTCATCGTCAGCAAATAAATTATCCTTGTAGTAAGTCACTATAAGTAATACTCTTTTTTTCAATCAGATTAAAACGCATTTAAAAAAAAATTTTGTATTTAATGATTGTCCATCAAAACCCAGTGGGCACGGACGTAAAAAAAGACGTATTTAAAACGTCTTCTAAACGTTTTGGACGTCTTTTGAACGTTTTTTAAACGTTTTGGACGTCTTCTGAACGTTCAAAAGACGTCTTTTTTTGGTCCGGTGCCCACTGGGAAGTAACTGCAACTACGTTAAAATTAACATAGGTTTCTAAAATTTATACTGCTTTCTAAAATAAAGAAAAAAATTGGACCAAAATAACATTTGTAAAAGAGAGGTTTTAAGCAATCATGGCGTAACGGTTAGATCTTGTACTTCAAAATCAAGAGCTTCAATTCTTGCTCTTGCCATATTTTCTTAAGTGGTTAGGAAGCAGGTGTGAGCTCTCTAGTTAAATGTTTTTTCACAGTGTACTGTGTGAAAACACAATAAAAACTTTTTTAAACCGTCAAGTAGAAATTATTTACAAAATAATGACCAAAAAATTAGACCAAAAAAAGTTGCCAATAATAGAATTATTGAAGAACTCACTGAATATAAGTAAAAGAAATAATAGAAACCAAATTACGATAATGAGAAATATTTCAGGCTGTTGGCTACTACGATTATATTCTCAGGAATCAAACTCCCAAAAAATAACCACAACAAAAAAAAAACAAACAGCAACAACTACAATACCAACAAAAAAAACAACAACAAGCAAGTTTATTTGTATTTTGCATTTTTTTTAAATTAACATTAGGATCACATAAATTAGTGGTTCCAAACTGGTGGTCCATGGACCCCTGGGAATTCATGAGAACTTTTTAAGAGACCACAAAACTAAAAAATCTTAAAACTAAAGAACCGACATTATATTAACACTCAAATTTTTACAAAATTTTGATCTGACCTAGCAGGGGTGGGTTTTGTCACTTGCCAAGGAGGGGGCTATAAAGGTCTTACCAAAAAAAAAAAATGTCCGCACTTTCATTTATATGTAACTTTCTTTTTTAATTTTTTGTACTTTAGAGTAATAATCAAGTTTATATATATCTTGCGTGAACTTGGAGCTTTAAATATTAATAAACTTAACATTCACCAAGTGATGCTATTTATGTTTAAAGCAAAGCGTGGTTTATCACCAGTAACATTTCAATCTTACTTTAATGAAGTTTCTCATAAATATTCTACTTAAATTTCAGAAAATAACTTTGTTATTTCCATAACCCGTCTTA